AGATTATACAAAATATAGATATTTTATTCCCCTTACAATATGACGTCGAGAGAGATTTACCGACATGCCAATAATATTTTGACAACTTGATTCATTTTATTATTATTTAGGAAACGCTTTTGACGTAATTGTATCAATTTACATATTAGTCTCTGTTCAAACATACAACTTTGATTATAATATGTCTTGAAACCAAGTTGGTGATTTCCAACTGCGGGAGCAAATATAGAATAGTTTAAACCATGCCTATTATGGGTTCTTTCATAAATAATTTCAGTGCCTTTCACATACATAGATAATAAGCAGAGATTTTCCATATGATAAATCATACATAATACATAGATACATACAGACATGAGGGGATCATGGGGATCATGGGGATCAATCAATCTCATACAAAATAGATTTTCTGAACGTAACGGTACGTGAAAAAAACTTAAATTTTAATCCATTTCTCTCTAATATCTGTTTACGTTTACATCGTCGCTGGAAAGAGTGGGACATAATATGATACAAAATGTGTCCTCGAAACTTGAAGCATTTAGTTATCTCACTCATCATGTTGATATGAACAATATATGAAATTGAAAGCACTTTGACCTAAAATAGTGAAATACAAGGAGAAGACAAATAAAAGCTTTTTTAAAAGTATTGTTTATGGTTTACTGCAGCTTGAGCATGATGCATATTGAAATAAGTAATAGTAACGGAGTGAAATATGAACGCACCTTGTGTGTTTTCTTTCTTCCGATAATGGAACTTATATTTGTCCAAACACCATGTAGAGATATTTGTTCAGTGTATGTGAAGATAAAATGTTTGGTTCGTGTACGTGGAGCCTTTTCTATAATCGTTGTTGTGTTAAGCGCAACCCGCTTCCAAATTTATGGAAAGATTTACCACTTGAGCACGGACCGCTCCGATTCTCGCCATGCCTCTGTCGTCATTGATCCGTCTTTATTTCAAACTGTTGTTTACAAAGTATAATATTCTGATGTAAGTTCTTTTGCAATGTCACTCATAGGGTGGGCGATTTGCTGAAATCTTTTTCTCTCCCCATCGCTTTTATCACCCTCCTCATCATCTCTCTCTCTCTCTTGCTCTCTGTCTCTCTCTTCTTCTCTCTCTTTACTTCCCAGCTTTCTCTCTCTCTCCTTCTCTCTCTATATATATCTTTATATATATATATTTTATTCCCTCTCTCTCTCTCTTTCTCTTTTTACATCACTCTCATTCTTTCTCTCTCTATCATATTTTCTTGCTCTCTATGTCTGTCTTTCTCTCTCTATCATATTCTCTTGCTCGCTCTGTCTATCTCTGTCTCTCTCTCTCTCTTCTTTCTCTGTCTCTTTAATTTACTTTGTTTAATTACAAATCGACCGGCTTTTCCTTCTTGTCAACATTTGTGTTAATCAAAACTTGAATTGTGTTAAGAGTTGTCAGGGATAGTGCGACTTGTATAAAATATTTTTTTGTTTTTATCTCACACCTCAAAGCAAATATAAGACTAAAAGAATATTGTGTGCGAGCGTAATTTGAGCTATGAATGACAGTTAATTCATTGATTATGAATCATTTCATGCACAACAAGCGGATGCTCACATTCATGTTCTCTGTATTATCTTTCAAAAGATTTCTCTTGCAATCACAAACAAACCCAAGTATATGTGTTGTTGTATAAATGATGTAAAGGTGATCGCATCTGCATCAGTGAAGGAGAAGATGAAACGCTGAATATTAAGAATTTGACTCTAAAGGTTCGCGATCGGGTGCGGGTGAGCACATTACATCGATCATTTCATATTAAATTCTTTCTTTTTTTCTTCGTAAAAGAGTTGGTTGTTTCAATTTTAAATTCCCCATGTATATTACATACATGCAAATTGAGATTCACTGGCTATTTTTTAATCTAAGGTCGGCGTTTCCTACTCGACGGAAATCTAAAATCATAGAAATTGATAAGTATATATGTAAACCCCAAAATCAAGATTGCAATTTATCAATAGCCATATTGTATAGCCATCCAATATTAAAAACCAGAAGCGCATGAGGCGTTCTTTCACGACCGCTAATTACGAAAAATGATTGCTGTATTAAATTGAATTCATACCAAAACAAGCATTGTACATTAGGCCCCTACGTATAATGATGGCTGCGCCCCGGATTGTCTCACACATGTTCTGTAGGCACTCTCTTGTTTGTGTAGATTGTTATGCCAATTTTCCGTCGATTTTTGGACTAATTTGAAATCTTGTGCTAGGCCATCGCACCCTGCTTCAATGGGCTTGCAACGAACAGTCACGTATCACGTATCACGTATCACGTGTCACATTCGCGTTTTGCGCTGTTTCGTAAAAATAGGTGACTCTAAGTTACGAAGTATAGGGCCGACCATTCGTTGTTTTCCACGCCGTTAAAACACGAATGATCAGTCTACCAAAACGTGACGTGAGTGTTTAATCAATATTTTTAAAATTACAAGCGCTTGTTACTATAAGACTAGTCATGACGTCACCGTAATACGTATGATTTGTGTATGTACGTACGTACAGTATACGTATCGCTTGCCCCTAGCTAGCTGACAACGCGTCGCGACGATATCGACGAGGACGAGGCCGGCACGGTTTGAAGACATGGCGATCGAGGCTAGCCAGCGCTCAGCGAGCCGCAGATTATCGATGATACAAAATGAGAATGTAAGTATACTTTGGGATGATTATAAGTATAACCGTTTTATAGACTCTGTTGGTCCCCTGTTACACCCACAAATTTAATAACGCCCACAAATGTAATAACGCTCTCAACACAAATGTCATAACACTTTACCCACAAATGTAATAGTTTCACCCACAAATGTAATAACCACTTTACCCACAAATGTAATAATTTTGAATCACCCACAAATGTAATAATTTTGAATCACCCACAAATGTAATAATGACTTTACCCACAAATGTAATAAATTTGAAGGGATATTTTGTCGAATTTGTTCAAAACTAAAACCCTGTAATAAAGCATGGGTATAGCTAACTACCCCCCGGACATCTACCCCAAGTCAACTACCCCCTCCCCGGACATCTACCCCCATCCAACTAACCCTCCGGACATCTACCCCCAAGCAAATTAAGGTAGTTGGGGGTAGTTGCCCGGGGGTAGTTGGATGGGGGTAGATGTCCGGGGGTAGTTTTCAGGGTGGGGGTAGTTGGCTGAGGGTAGTTGGAAGGGGATAGTTGGATTGGGGGGGGGGTAGATGTCCAGGGGGTAGTTGGCTGGGGTAGATGTCCGGGGGTATTTGACGGGGGTAGATGTCTGGGGGTAGTTGCACGCACACACACACACACACATATATAGTTTTTCATAAATTGTCCCATTCTCCCTCTCTTTCTCTTTCTCTCCCTACCTATCTTTGTCCCTCCCGTCCCCATGCAGCTTCTCCCCTTCCTTTATCTTTTGGCTGAAAAGGTGCCACGGGGCACTTTACAATTCTTCATAATGTTCACAAGCGTGCAATGTAACGACCTTATTTTATTAAACGGTGAGACACGTAAAAAGTGAATTAGGGTGCGCATCTATTTTCCTTGTTCAAATCCTGCCTATGTTTCTGCTCCTTAAATACCCTTTGTTTGCACTGTCTTAGCTGCGTGCATCTGACTTAAAGGCGACCTAAATGTAATCGAGATCGAGAGCCCGATTCCAAAGGAGCAAGGGCGTCCTCACGAGAATTATGCAAATCGTTGTTCAAGATAAACATAAGATAAACATAAATTCACCTCTAAATTCAGAACTCCCCGCGTGCCATTATATTTCAACATCGGCCTGCCGCCTCGGTAAAGGATCACTCTAGAACTCCTAAATTTATCGGTTCATATATTGGCGCGCTGGAAAACACTCGGGTCACGGCTAGCTGGGCATTATTTTGGTAATGGTGTCTTAAAATCGGCCCTACAAGCTTGGGAAATCTTATCTTAAATTAGCGACTGGTTTTAACAATTTTTAAATGGGGGTGCGTATGAAAATTTACTTAAGAAATAAGTTTGTGGGAAATCAAGAACTACCTAGAAAGGAATACAAAGGAAAAAATATTTAGGAATTGAAAGAATTCGTTGGCCAGATTTAACAGTGGAAGAGTGGAGAAAATCAAGAATTACATGATAGAAAAAATAGAAGGGAAGAAAAGGGATAGATTATCAAAAAAGAAAGATTATTCTTAAAAGACTGACATATGAAAATAAAGTAAGGAATAAAACGTATTAGGATGGAAATTACAAGTAATGTGGAAAACAAAGATTATTATAGAAGAAATGGGAAAAGATAGAAATACAAAAACAGAGTATATTATAGGCCTAATAGAAAATTATGGTAGAATGCACCAGAAGAATTAACAATTTGCATAAAGATGGGGAAGATGAATTGCAGAAAATAAAGAATTACATTGTAGGCCTAGAAAAAAAGAGGAATGAACGGAGAAATGAAGGGAGATAAAGAATTTAAGATGTAGAAGAGCGGTTGAATAAGATGCCTTAATAAATCAATAGATGATAAGGGAAACCAACAAAGAATATCGTAATGATTACATGATGGAATAAAAAAAAATAAAAAAAATCCCCCCTTATAAAGCCGATTTGAAGACACCATTAAAAATTTAAAAAAATGGCCCAGCTAGGTTTTTCCCTCTGCGCTTCTCGTTCTCATTCCCTCTCTCTCCCTTTCATAATCTCTCTCTCGCTATGCTACTTCCCACTTGTGCCTCATTTACTCTCTATGTAATTAATTCCCTGAGTTTAGCGAAGAGTTTGTTAATCCACCCCCACCAACTATAATCATAATTTATCAACATTTATCAACAAATCAACCTAGGGCAATTTCAACGCTTTGTCCGTCACCTGTTGACATATTACGTAATCTGTATATGGTATTTAAAGGCTATAGTAATCGCCCTTGAGTTGATTTCTTGAAAGTCTTTGCGATTTCACACAAAGGAAGAGACGATAAAAAAAACGTCCAATGCAGAAAGACTTTAATCCCAAAGAAAACAAAGAATACTTTCAATTTGGATCCAGATAGAAGCCCCTACCACTAATGATTATCAAATTGAAGGGAAGCGTGAAAAAGCTTGATGGTCCAACAGTCCTACACGAAACATTTTTATACCGCCGAATAACCCCCAGATTTAACGAATAAAAAATAACCTTATTCCACATTATATTTTGATTATCTATCAACATCATACTTGAAAAGTACGATTTGAAATACATGGTGATCAATATCGAAATTTCCGCCCCCCACTATAATAATTGAATATCTAGTAAATGTAGGAAACATGTTAGAATTAATTTACTTTTAATTTGAATTAATTAATTTATATGTCATCATATAATTCGACGTTCTGTATAATATATGTCTTAAAGATATTATAATACACAATGACACTTGAACGATATTGATCATCTTTGAAAATGTGACTTTCATTATGACTGATTAATACAATTGATTATATAAATGCATACCATATGTTATTTCGATATCATTGTGATAAGACGTATTTTGTTCTCATTGTCAATCACAGTCAGTAGAAAAGATCATGTAGTTCTTGGTATTTATTCAGTTAATGGAATCATCTACTATCTGTTTGGCTTTTTATAACTTACACCGTTATAAGCTACCTTCTATGAAAAAAGACTATTCAATTATTATAAAAAGCACGAGCAACCGGTAAAAAATGAGACAGCTTTGCACTACACAAAGCCAACTTTTGCCTCTTTATAACGGGTCCCTATCATTAAAGATGAACGCTATACCTAAATGTGTTTTACAATACCAGCTTAACACATGCAATCGATATAGATAACAGTTAAATCCTTGATCATCGTGACATGAAGAAGAGTATAGATGGAAGAGAGTGGCAAACAACTTTAAATCGGGTCACTGTATTACACTCGAGGTGTACACGACCTTTCAGCATCGTCTGCAAAATTAAAAAGAATAAAAATGAAATAGAAGCTACTATGATTTTCAAGTGTTAATGATTATAAAAACATCCACATAACTCATTTATCATTTTAATAGTTAAAATGCATGATAAAAATTACATATGATGAGAAATATTTTTGGTTTTAGCGATATATACTTCAAGATGGCGTCCTAACAAAACTGTTTTCATCATTCACACACCATGACGTCATGGATGAAAAGAACTACAAGAGAATGGGAAGAATGGATTAAGCTGATTTATCATAGAGAAGTAGAAGGGGCGGCACAAGTAAGTCCGAAAGTTCTATGAAAAGGCCCTAAAATGAAACCAGGTTACAGGTTTGCCGTTTGGGTTGAAGAATTCCCTGACAACAACAACTTAAAATAGTAACAATAATAGGTCTAAATTATGAATTTAATATCTACATATACCCTAACATTTGGATGACTTGGAATGTACCCTTTGTTATTCCCCTTCCCCCTCTCCCCTAGTTTCATTAAACTTACCGTCAATAACAAGTGTCAAAGTTCAATGACAAATTCGCTGACAGCCAATCAGGCCCCATTTCACAAACTTGTCATCAGTGACAAATGACAGTTTTTGTTATAAGCTACTGAAATCCTAGCTTCTGATTGGTTATAAGCAGATTTGTCACTAATTTTTGTCATTTGTCATTAAAAAAAGGCTTTGTGAAATGGGTCCCTGATATAGTTCGTTATGTAGCTTGTAACAGTTATCTAAACTTGGTATTGATGATAGGTTTTATGAATCGTGCCCGGTCATGCTTATTATTTACGTTTACGCGGTGCATCTGACACCGGCATCTTCAAAGTGCAAGCAGTTATTATCGAAGGGAGCATTGCTCGGACAATACTCCAGAGCGGTATCTCCAGCGGAACACTCGACATCGTCGAATATGATAGGCCCTGAACCTTGTCCGAATTCAGCGCTTCCTACCGCAGTTCCCGAGCTGTATCCAAGACTTCTGCAGACAACTCCAGCATCGGTGTCATCCCAGAAGTCATCACAAATCGTTCCCCAGACTCCGTCGTAGAAAATCTCAACTCTGCCTTCTCTGTTGCAGGCTCCATTAACCAGTCGTAATTCTACAGATATAAAGCGAAAGAGAGATAATATTAATAATATGAAAAAATAATAACATTGTTGATACGATGACGACGATAGTGATAACAATAACAATAATAACGATAATGATAATAATAGTAGTAGTAGCAATAATAATATTATAATTGACAATAATAATCATCATCATAATAATAACAAATAATGATAATAACAATAATATTAATAATATTTAATATTATCAATAGTGCTGATATTAAATATAACAGTGATGACAGTGATAATGATGATGATGATGATCAATTATCAACTGGGGTAATAATACAACGCCTTTGGCATTGCATAGGCGTTATATCATAATGCGATATACGGCATTTAAAGGGAAATCCAACATAAAGAGCAAACAACTATAGAAGAAAGCAGACCAAAATATGAAAAGCAGACTGGTGAGAGTTTGAACGAAATCGAATATCAACAAAAGGAAGATTAGACATTTCTGAAAGTTTTAAGACTAAACTTCAAATAGTATGAATCGATAATGTCACTGCATGTGATATAGCGCCGAACAACTTTCCCGTTTGTTCCATCACACACAAAATGAAAGACTAAAATTACATCCTTTTCAAAATGCATGACTCGGGATGGTCTTTTCTCTTCAGAGGACCTACAATTAGCTATCAATAATACATTTTGAGTAGTGCCCCCCCCAGGAAGAATTTACTTTTTAAAAGAAAACAAAGGAGGAATTTACTTGGAAGAAAAACAGAAATGAGTGATATTTTTATACACGATAAACGAGAGAGCTGTCCACGACAACGTCAATTATTTACCGACAAAATTGCCAATATGAGATTCGCATAGCTTTAGTGATCTCATATTCCAAATATTCATAATTCTCTTATTACAGATTTATTTCAAACTTTCACTATCCCGTTTCTCTTATCGTTCTGCTTTCAAACAAATAAACTTATTACGAGGCTGGATTGCCCTTTAAGATGTCAAGACTTAATCCACAGTCGTATCATTAATGTCTCCTTTTAGTGACGTTTCGCGATGTCCTTAAATTTTGAATGCTAAGATCTACACATTATACACGAGCAAAGAAAACAAAACATCACAGACATTTTATAGTCCATTTTCAATACAATACGATGTGCGGTCCTCGAATAAGAGCGATTGTAATGTAACTAATCATTCAAGTCGCTAAAGTTTGTATCAAAGTTTTGTCGTGTTCAAATTTGCAGCTTTGGGGTTAAATTTTTCAATCTCCTTTCACTATGGTTCATTTAATAAACATATTATTTTTCTAATAATGAAGGAGTTGAACATAACGTTGAGAGTTGCTAACTAGAGGAGGGAAACTGATACATTTACAAATTAACAACACTCTGAGATGCTATGGATTAAACTTACGCGTAGTCACAACTGCTTCTCTCAGTGTGCTATATTCAATTATTTTAATTAATTAATTGCTGTGCATGTGTGATCGGTCGTGCAAGTCGTTATGACGAATGAAACTGTCCAAGCAGTGCACGTTGGGAGTGGATATGATGTCCACAGTGGTTGTTTCCGAGACTAGCAGGGAAAAGGGGCTTAACCAAATACTCTGTGAATAATAGATTGGAAAGTATTAGATCAACAACATACCTGCTGATCCTGTCTGAGCGAAACAGAAGACTCCGGCATCTTCAGAGTGCCTACAATTATGGACGCCGAAACCAGCATTAGAACAATAACCAAGATTGGTTTCGGTTCCAGTACATGATACATCATCCAGGAGAATATCCCCCGAACCTTCTCCGAATGCAAGGCTTCCTACCCCAGTTCCCGAAGCGAATCCAAGACTTCGGCAGACAACTCCAGCATCGGTGTCATCCCACGAGTCATCACAGACAGTTCCCCAGGTTCCATTGTTATAAATCTCAACTCTTCCTTCGCTTTCATCGCTTCCATCAACCAGTCGTACTAATAAAACTATCATGCAAAAGAGAGATAATAGTAATGATATGAACAAAAATGTTAACTAAAAATATAATGATGATGATGATGATGACAACAATAATAATAATGGGGGTTATAATAATAGTAATAATTATAATAATAAAATACTCATAATGATAATTACAATGACGAAGGTGATCATTATGATGATGATGATGATGATGATTATAAGCTTAAAGCCCAAGTCCACTCCAACACTAACTTACTTTCAATAGAGGCAGAAAAAAACAGACTAACCAATCAAAAAAAGTTTGAGCAAAATCGGATAGCTAATAAGAAAGTTATGAATTTTTAGTGACATGAAAAACTTTGAAAATTACTAGACATATTGGCAACTCACTCATGAGTCTGTGACGTCATGTCCTCACTATCCACTATTTTTTTTTATATTGATGATATAAATTTCCTATTTTCTCCTTAAGAACCTTATTTCTTCACATCAGCATCCAAGTTAGATTGATAGTAATATGTTTTTGTGCAGATGCACTAATATAGAGTAATTTTTTCCAGTTTAATAATGAAAAATTTAATTTTGATAAACTATTTATATAAAAATCAATAATTATGAATATAGAATATTCAGAAAATAGTATAAATTCTTTAAAGTTCATGAGAGATTTTGTGAAATGTCATGCAAGCAATGTGATACAAATCATATAACCTGGGCAAAGGCATGGGAGAGGAATCAAATTTGGGGGAATAAAAAGGGAAATGAATGGGATTAAACTACATGTATATAAAGCAATTAATAAATAGTGAGGGCATGACGTCACAAACTGATAACCCTCTTGGCAATTTGTGTTGTGATTCTCATTGTTCCATAGTTTTACATACTTGTTCAAAAACTCATAACTTTCTTATTAAATATCCGATTTTGCTCAACCTTTTTTTAATTGGTTAGTCTGATTTTTATGCTTTTATTGAAAGTAATTTATTTTTCGAGTGAACTTGTCCTTTAAGCTGGGGGTAATTAACCAACTCCTTTGGAATCGCATAGTGACGTGATATCATAATGTAATATGCGACATATGGCATTCAAAGGGAAATCCAACATTAATAGCAAACAACTATATAAGAAAGCAGACTAAAATCGAAGAAGCAGACTGGTGAAAGTTTGAACGGAATCCGAATATAAATAAAGAGAGTCTGACTTTTTGGAAACTTAAAATATGACGAATCTTCATGTCAGGGCCTGCAGAACGGCGGGGCTCGGGGGGGGGGGGGCTCGAGACCCCCTCACTTTAAAAAAGTACGTTAAAGAGAAAAAGAAAGAAAGAGAGGAAGAAAGGAAAAAAAGTGACCTGCCAGTAGCATAATACGGGGGCTCCTCCCCCTAGACCCCACCAAGGGCCCTAAGGCGGGCCCCTGGATGCTCATCTGACCGTATTTAACTAGCCTACCTCAAACCACTGAGCCTTATGGGGCCCCCTTATCACAAATAAGGTTTTTAAATACGCTTATCTGACCATAATTAAATGCTTTAAACATCCGGGCTTCCGGGGGCTCAGCCCCTTGATCCCCCGACGGGGCAAAGCCTCTGGATACCACGCCAATTCACGCTCTACCTGATCGTTAATACTTCACTTTGAAAAACGTTCTGCGGGGCCTGCATGTCACTAATAAGAGTGGTGGTGATGCAGACTTTTCTTCTGCCCCCCAACGGTTTTGCTGCTACTATACTGCCTCTGAACATTGTGCCCCTTGTTTCCCCCTCCCCCATTGCCCCCAAGACCAGCAAGTAAAGGGCGTTATACCAAATAATCTGTGAATTGGGGTGGATAGTTTTAAGAATAAATGGGATATTTAGAAAAACATTCTACCTTCCAAATTTGTCTCAGAACAGCGGACTCCGGCATCTTCAGAGTGCCCACAGTTATGGACGCCGAAACCAGCATTAGAACAATCACCAAGATTAGTTTCGGTTCCAGTACATGATACATCATCCAGGAGGATATCTTTTGATCCTTCTCCGAATGCAGCGTTTCCTACCCCAGTTCCAGAATCGAATCCAAGACTTCGGCAGACAACTCCAGCATCGGTGTCATCCCACGAGTCATCACATACAGTTCCCCAGGTTCCATTGTTATAAACCTCAACTCTTCCTTCGCTTTCATCGCTTCCATCAACCAGTCGTACTACTAAAACTATCATGCAAAAGAGAGATAATAGTAATGATATGAACATAAATGTTAAAGGTAAAGACTAGTATTTGAAAAGCCCCAATTTCAAAAAATTAAATGGAAGCTCTCATTACCAATCATGTGAAAGAATATGTTTTGACTAAGACATGATGATAAAAAATTTGCCGGGAAACCGCCTACTAATTCATATATTTGGTAAATTTGTTTCTCTCATGGACTTTGAGAGATATAGGGTAGTCCCATATACATCTTTCTGTGTATAGTGCTTGTAACTTTACGAAGAATGGGCCAAATTTCTTATCATTTTGATGATTCCAGAACCTTGCAGATGCTAGATGCTAGATGATCAACCTTTTCTGATCGATTCCACAACGTTTCTTTCACAATACAATCGCATGACCATAACTGGTCTTTACCTTTAACTAAAAATCTAATAATGATGATGATGATGACAATAATAATAATAATAATAATAATAATAATATAAGTTATAATTATAATAATAAAATAGTCATATTCTAATAATAATGACGATGTTGATGATTATGTTGATAATAATAATAATAATAATAATAATCATACTCAGTTTTTATATAGCGCCTATTAAAATCACTAAGCGCTTCCAAACTTGGATATTATTACCACTCCTTTAGCTGTGCTGCCATTGAGGCGCTCTAGCATTTCAAAGAATTAATTCCTGCCAGGTACCCATTTACCTCACCTGGATTGAGTGTAGCAAATGTAGATCAATGTCTTGCCAAAGGACATTAGTGCCTCGGCGGGTCTCGAATCTCGGGTCTTAAAAAAAGTACGTTTAAGAGGAAAAGTAAGAAAGAGAGGAAGAAAGAAAAAACAGTGACCTGCCAGTAGCATAATACGGGGGCTCCTCCCCCTAGACCCCACCAAGGGCCCTAAGGCGGGCCCCTGGATGCTCATCTGACCGTATTTAACTAGCCTACCTCAAACCCCTGAGCTTCATGGGCCTAGTCCCCCTGGACCCCATGCCAATTAGTGACCTGCTAGTATCACATATAAGGTTTTTTAAATATGTTTATCTGACCATAATTAAATGCCGAAAACACCTGAGCTTCCAGGGGCTCAGCCCCTTAACCCCCCGGCGGGGCAAAGCCTCTAGACAACACGCCAATTCACGCTCTACCTGATTGTTAATACTTCACTTTGAAAAACGTTCTGCGGGGCCTGCATGTCACTAATAAGAGTGGTGGTGATGCAGACTTTTCTTCTGCCCCCAACGGTTTTGCTGCTACTATACTGCCTCTGAACATTGTGCCCCTTGTTTCCCCCTCCCCCATTGCCCCCAAGACCAGCAAGTAAAGGGCGTTATACCAAATAATCTGTGAATTGTGGTGGATAGTTTTAAGAATAAATGGGATGTTTAGACAATCATTCTACCTTCCAAATTTGTCTCAAAACAGCGGACTCCGGCATCTTCAGAGTGCCTACAGTTATGGACGCCGAAACCAGCATTAGTACAATCACCAAGATTGGTTTCAGTTCCAGTACAAGATACATCATCGAGGAGGATATCCCCTGAACCTTCTCCGAATGCAGCGCCTCCTACCCCGGTTCCAGAATCGAATCCAAGACTTCGACAGACAACTCCAGCATCGGTGTCATCCCACGAGTCATCACATACAGTTCCCCAGGTTCCATTGTTATAAACCTCAACTCTTCCTTCGCTTTCATCGCTTCCATCAACCAGTCGTACTACATAAACTATCATGCAAAAGAGAGATAATAGTAATGATATGAACATAAATGTTAAAGGTAAAGACTAGTATTGGAAAAGCCCCAATTTCAAAAAATTAAATGGAAGCTCTCATTACCAATCATGTGAAAGAATATGTTTTGACTAAGACATGATGATAAAAAATTTGCCGAGAAACCGCCTACTAATTCATATATTTGGTAAATTTGTTTCTCTCATGGACTTTGAGAGATATAGGGTAGTCCCATATACATCTTTCTGTGTATAGTGCTTGTAACTTTACGAAGAATGGGCCAAATTTCTTATCATTTTGATGATTCCAGAACCTTGCAGATGCTAGATGCTAGATGATCAACCTTTTCTGATCGATTCCACAACGTTTCTTTCACAATACAATCGCATGACCATAACTGGTCTTTACCTTTAACTAAAAATCTAATAATGATGATGATGATGACAATAATAATAATAATAATAATAATAATATAAGTAATAATTATAATAATAAAATAGTCATATTCTAATAATAATGACGATGTTGATGATTATGTTGATAATAATAATAATAATAATCATACTCAGTTTTTATATAGCGCCTATTAAAATCACTAAGCGCTTCCAAACTTGGAGATTATTACCACTCCTTGTGCTGCCATTGAGGCGCTCTAGCATTTCAAAGAATTAATTCCTGCCAGGTACCCATTTACCTCACCTGGATTGAGTGTGGCAAATGTAGATCAATGTCTTGCCAAAGGACATTAGTGCCTCGGCGGGTCTCGAACCGCGGACCTCGTTATCTTAAGCTGGGGTTAATTATCCAACTCCTTTAAAATCGCATAGAGACGTTATATCATACTGTAATAAGCGATATATGGCATTTAAAGAGAAATCCAGCATTAATAGCAAACAACTATATAAGAAAGCAGACTAAAATCAAAGATTAATTAGACTGGTGAAAGTTTAAACGAAATCCAAAAAATAAAGAGAGTCTGAGTTTTTGGAAACTTCAATATATGACGAATTTTCATGTCAGGGCCTGCAGAACGGCGGGGCTCTCGGGGCTCGACCACCCCTCACTTTAAAAAAGTTCGTTAAAGAGCAAAAGAAAGAAAGAGAGAAAGAAAGAAAAATGCAATAACTTGCCAGTGGCATAATACGGGGGCTGCTCCCCCTGGACCCCGCCAAGTGCCCTAAGGCGGGCCCCTGTATGCTCATCTGACCGTATTTAAATACCTCAAACCCCAATTAGTGACCTGCCAGTATCACAAATAAGGTTTTTAAATACGCTTATCTGACCATAATTAAATGCCAAAAAAACCTGAGCTTCCGGGGGCTCAGCCCCTTAACCCCCGACCTCCACGGCAATTTACGCTCTACCTGATCGTTAATAATTCACTTTGAAAAACGTTCCGCGGGGCCTGCATGTCACTAATATGAGTTGCAGTGATGCAGATCTTCTTCTGCCCCCCCAACAGTTTTGCTCATTACGACACTGCCTCTCAAAATTGTGCCCCTTTGAATGTTTGCCCCCCCCCCATTGCCCCCAAGACCAGCAAGTAAAGGGCGCTATACCAAATAATCTGTGAATTGGGGTGGATAGTTTTAAGAATAAATGGGATGTTTAGACAAACATTCTACCTTCCAAATTTGTCCCAGAACAGCGGACTCCGGCATCCTCAGAGTGCCTACAGTTATGGACGCCGAAACCAGCATTAGAACAATCACCAAGATTGATTTCGGTTCCAGTACATGATACGTCATCCAGGAGGATATCCCCTGTACCTTGTCCGAATTCAGCCCTTCCTACCCCAGTTCCAGAATCGAATCCAAGACTTCGGCAGACAACTCCAGCATCGGTGTCATCCCATGAGTCATCACATACAGTTCCCCAGGCTCCATTGTTATAAACCTCAACTCTGCCTTCGCTTGCATCGCTTCCATCAACCAGTCGTACTACATAAACTATCATGCGAAAGAGAGGTAATAGTAATGATATGAACAAAAATGTTAACTAAAAATATATTAATGATGATGGAGGTTATTATCCAACTCCTTTGGAATCGCATAGAGACGTATTATCATATCATAATGTAATATGCGATGTATGGCATTCAAAGGGAAATCCAGCATTCATAGCAAACAACAAATATAAGAAAGCAGACTAAAATCAAAGATTAAGCAGACCGGTGAAAGTTTAACCGAAATCCAAAAAATAAAGAGAGTCGGAGTTTTTGGAAACTTCAAATATGAGGAATCTTCATGTCAGGGCCTGCAGAACGGCGGCGCTCTGGGGGCTCGAGCACCCCTCACTTTAAAAAAGTTCGTTAAAGAGCAAAATAAAGAAAGAGAGAAAGTAAGAAAAAAGCAGTGACCTGCCAGTGGCATAATACGGGGGCTCCTCCCCTGGACCCCACCAAGGGAAAGGCGGGCCCCTGGATGCTCATCTGACCGTATTTAAATACCTCAAACCCCTGAGCTTCATAGGGCTTAGTCCCCCTGGACCCCATGCCAATTAGTGACCTGCCAGTATAACAAATAAGGTATCTAAATACGCTTATCTGACCATAATTAAATGCCTAAAACACCTAAACTTCCGAAAGTTGTGCCCCTGGAATGTTTGCCCCCCACCCCTCATAGACCCCAATCCCAAACTGCTTCCGGCGCGCCTGTTTCCACAACAGTTGTTGTTTCTAAGACCAGCACATATTAAAGGGCGCTACACCAAATACTCAGTGAATTGGCGATGATAGTTTTAAGAATAAATGGGATGTTTAGACAAACATTCTACCTTCAAAATTTGTCCCAGAACAGCGGACTCCGGCATCTTCAGAGTGCCCACAATTATGGACGCCGAAACCAGCATTAGAACAATCACCAAGATTGATTTCGGTTCCAGTACATGATACGTCATCCAGGAGGATATCCCCTGTACCTTGTCCGAAATCAGCGCTTCCTACCCCAGTTCCAGAATCGAATCCGAGACTTCGGCAGACAACTCCAGCATCGGTGTCATCCCACGAGTCATCACAGACAGTTCCCCAGGCTCCATTGTAATAAACCTCAACTCTGCCTTCGCTTGCATCGCTTCCATCAACCAGTCGTACTATACATTATTCGTGAAAGAGAGAGAGAGAGAGAGAGAAGGAGGGAAATGAGAAGGGAGGGAGCGAGAGACGGAGAGAAAGAGAGAATGTTAGATCTTTTCCTTAACTACACTATAGTTTCATCGACCTGTTGTATAAGTGGTCATCGTGCTACGTTAGTAGTAGCAATGATAACAATAGTAATAACAATAATAATTATGATGGTGATCATTATGATGATGATGATTATAAGCTTAAGATGGGGTTATTATCCAACCCATTTGGAATCGCATAGAGACGTATTATCATATCATAATTTAATATGCGATATACGGCATTTATTGGGAAATCCAACATTAATAGCAAACAGCTATAAAAGAAAGCAGACTAAAATTAAAGAAGAAGAGTGGTCAAAGTTTGAACGAAATCGAACCAAAAAAATGAAAGAGTTGCGAATGTTTGATAGTGGTACTTCTATAAGAATTGGAACTTTAAAATATTATGAATCTGTAATTTCACTGATATAGCGCCGGCAACTTTTCCGTTTGTTCCAACACACAAAATGACTAAATTGTCATCTTCTTTTAGTTAATGTATGACCCGGGATGGTCTCTTCTCTTTAGAGGACCTACAATATTATACTATCTATAATATATTTTGAGGAGAGTTCCCAAGGGCGAAAGCACTTGGGAGAAAAACATCAATGAGTTTTTTTTTTTGTATCCGACAAACGAGAGAGTTGTCCATGACAACGTCTCAATTTACTGAAAAAATTGCCAATATCAGATTCGCAAAGCTTAAGTGATCTCATATGTCAAACATTCATGATTCTCTTATTTCAGACTTATTTCAATCTTTCGCCCTCCCGTTTCTCTTAATTTTCTGCTTTCAAACAAAAGAACTTGTTACAATGGTTGGATTGTCTGTTAAGATGCCGAGATTTGACACTGCACAGCTGTACAATTTATTAATGTCTCCTTTTTACGTTTTGCGATATAGTTTGATTTAGAATGCTAGGATTAACACATTAGTCGGACTGTCAAACTACTCGAAGCTTGCGTCAAAGATTTGCAAACCTGGATGAACTCGAACTTACGCAAACTGAATGATAGTAAAACTGAACTAATTTTATTTGGTTCGAAATCAAATCTTGCTAAGATACAGTCGTTCAATATATCCATATCAGATTCTGTAATCAGTCCTTCCTCGCAATGTCGTAACCTTGGTGTCATGTTAAACTCGTCTATGTCATTGTCAACTCATGTTTCTAGTATTTGTAAGTCAGTCAGATACCAACTAAGAAATCTAGGTTTTATTAGGAAATACTTAAGTCGTTCAACCACAGAGAAACTTGTACATGCTCTTATTTCATCACGCTTAGATTTCTGTAATTCTATTCTCTATCTTCTCCCTAACACACAACTTGTTCGACTCCAGAAACTGCAATATACTGCTGCACGTATTGTCACACCCATTCTCAAAACTCTTCACTGGCTCCCGGAATGTGACCGAATTATTTTTACGATATTGTTGCTAGTTTTCCATTCCTTGTATGACTCTGCTCCTTCCTATAGAATATCAAGTTGATTGTTAAGTATAAGCCTACAAGACATCTTCGTTCATCTCAATCCTTATTAGTTGTCCCTAAGACGCGCAGCTCCTGGGGGGATAGAGCATTTTCTCATTCTGGTCCGTCCCTTTGGAATAAGCTGCCACTTAGTATTCGTAATTTAACTGCCCTTCATGACTTCAAAGTTGCTCTAAAAACCCATCTCTTTCTAAACAGTGCTATTTAATCATGTCAATGTAGCGTAATAATTTGTGTTGTTTTAGTTTACTTTATTTTAGTTAAGAAAGTTATATTTTTGTGATAGTAATATGTACAGTGCCATGAGCGTCAGAGCCTGGCGGATACCGGCGCTATATAAATATCCATATTATTATTATTATTATTATACACGAGCAGAGAAAGTAAAAATCACAGACATTTTAAAGTATATTGCTAATGCAGTACGTTGTGTGATTCTCGAAAATAAAGCGATTTGTAACCAATCATTCAAAATTTTCCAACGGGCTGTAAAATCATGGAGTTTCAGTAACTCCATGGTAAAATCTTAAATCAATATTTTCGAGTACGGCGCTATAGGAATAGAATAAGAATAAATGGGAGGTCTAGGCAAACATTCTACCTGTTGAACAGCGTACTCCAGCATCCTCAAAGTGCACACAGTTATGGACACCGAGACCAGCATTATCACAATCACCAAGACTTGTTTCGGTTCCGGTACATGATACATCATCCAGGAGGATATCCCCTGAACCTTGTCCGAATGCAGCGCCTCCTACCCCAGTTCCAGAAGCGAATCCAAGACTTCGACAGACAACTCCAGCATCGGTGTCATCCCACGAGTCATCACATACAGTTCCCCAGGCTCCATTGTAATAAACCTCAACTCTGCCTTCGCTTGCATCGCTTCCAGCAGCCAGTCGTACTATACATTATTCGTGAAAGAGAGAGAGAGAGAAGGAGGGAAAAGAGAAGGGATGGAGAGGGAGAGAGAGAGAGAGAGAGAGAATTAAAGTGGAGGCTGAGCATCAGTGTTCTATTAACGCCATCACTTAGTAAAGTAAAATTTTTACCGGGAGGTAATAGAAAAAAATACTCAAAAAAAAATCAAACGGAGAGAAACAGTATAAAGGAAAACCAGCAGAGACACAACGACATTAGGGACTTTTAGATTTACGTGGACTGATACGTGTGACGTCCATTCAAGGCAGTGCATTAAAAGGACGTCGACCGTAGCAATCCCCATTGTCTTCGTGTGAATACAGTCCCTATTACTATGGAAATCCCTGTTTCATAGACATTGTTATCAATAACAGCTTACAGTTATAAGCTATTAAATTTGTTTTATTTGATCGGATTATAGCAGACTGGACTGTATTAAAACGGTAGAGATGTGAGGGAGCTCTGGACCCCCTATCATCAACAAAAAAAAGGCACAAGGAAAAAAACTCTAAATTTTGTCACTCGGTCGCTACGCACCTTCGCAAATTTTTAGATGTGGAGTAACTTAAGACTGAGGAACCCATATTGTTTCCCGCCATGCATTAAGGGGGCGAATAAGTCGCTTTTTCCTCGTCCATGAACAACAGCATGGGTGTCGATACTTACGTAATACCTATTCATCAGGGGGGATGAATGAATAGATCATCCCCCCTGATGAATAGGTATCAGTTACGGATCGACACCCATGAACAACAGTGCCACAATTTTGCAGTATATCAATAAGCATCTTATTAGATCGCTCTATACCCTCTAATATCACCCTACCCTGCTACCATTTCAAATTTAATAAGTGGTGAAAGTAACTGTGGATAAGGTGGTGCATAAAGGGATGTGAAATTAAAAAAATATTTATTCAACATTTTCTTTTTGAAATATTATGAAATAATTCTGAATAAAAAAGGGGAAACAAAATTTGTGGTTTGGTGGTATATGCAGGTAGTTAACGTACCTACATTTTTGAGCTACAACAAAACCGTTGAAAGTCCATTCGAGGTGGGGTCCCCCAAGGTTGGAAGGGTTCTGACCTAGTTGGAACTAAAACCTTATGTTTCAACCCCCCCCCCCCCCCCCTCATCGCGAAATCATGCACACGTCCATGTCCGTACCTCCGTTTTCACATCGTACACTTGCGTCTTCGAAACGACCACAGTAACGTTTGTAGGTTCCAAGAGCCAAATTCCCACAGTCAAAGATACTCGTTTCGTCACCGGAGCAGGAGACGCCATCCAAAACGATGGTTCCTGTGCCCTGACCAAAGACAGCATACTGGTAAGCATATGTTGCAGCACCAAGCCCAAGGGACTCACAGACTACGTTGGCATCAGCCAATCGAAACCAGTCATCGCAGACAGTTCCCCATTCTCCATTGTAGAGTACCTCAACCCTACCTTCTCCTAGAGTGATACCATCGACAAGACGAACATCTGAAACGAAACAGTACAGCGCATTTGATGAAATCGGTGTTAGGCAGGCAGTCGAATTATCTCGCACACAAAAAGTTGTTTATCATTTAATAAGTGCTGAAATTTCGTTAAAGAGAAACAAAATGACTCATAAATCAATCGAAATTCTTTCGTATCTTTTCCTAAACTACACCCGTTGTTTAAGTGGTTATTATTCGTTACGGAACAAACAAAAAAAACTCTACATTCTCCGACGGTGTTACCAGTGACGAGACGAACACCTGCAACAAAACACATGCATGCCCATTTTTTGCAGATTTATGTAATTATAATACTCAAAAAAGTAATAATAATAATAATAATAATAATACTAATAATGATAATAATAATAATAATAATAATAATACTACTACTACTAATAATAATAGCCATTTCTATAGCGCCGTTTATTTAGAAATTCTATTCCGAGGCGCACTAATTATTACCATTACAGCGCTCCAGCATTTGAAGGAATTAATTCCTACCAGGTACCCATTTACCTCACCTGGCTCGAGCGTGTCAAATGGAGATTAATGCCTTGCCAAAGGACATTAGTGCCGTGTCGGGGATCGAACCAAGACCTTTGAAAGTCAAGTGCTTGAACCACTCGACTACGATATTACAATAATAATAATAATAATGATAATGATGATGATGATGATGATGATGATGATCTCGCAAAATTAGAAACAGATGCTTCAGTTCCTTTTTCCCAATTATTGCCGAGGTCAAATCTACACCCTTGATTGAAACAAAAGAAGAAGTACAATTAACAGATGCACCATTTTGATCATGAGGATAACTGAATAAATCAATTTCAGACTCACTACTCTGAGCGTTCACCGCTGTTGCTAAGAAACACACTACTAGATAAGCCTTGAACATCATTATGATGTTGAGATGGCGATGAGTGATACACGCTGGAAAGATGAAGTCGCCAATTCAAAGTCGGTCGATGATAGGCTCTTTGCTGATACTTTAGCTAACACCGTCGACCCGTTCCAGATGTACTGTGACGACTTCACTCGCTGATTGCGGTTTTTGCGGTCAGACTTGAGAAGCACTGAGACTCCGATTGAACACTTTTTTCTGAGACAAATCTAAAGATCAAAAGCCACCAGCATGTTGGTGTTGGTAAGAGGTTTAACAGGATCACCTTTCGAGAACAGGATATACCTTGCACCCTTAAGAAATCGACAAACAAACCACTTAATTTTGTGCTTCAAGTTCAAGTATCAAAGGGCATAATGGTGGGATTTTTCATGCACTGACATAACCAAGGAAGCCTCTAAAATATAAAGAACACAACGAAGAAATTTTGATTTTACAAAAAATGTATATACGTATATGAAGTTGAATAATTCTTATCGTTTTTATATTAATGTAATGGTACATGTGCCTCGTGTGGCGTCATATTTCTTAAAGTATGTATTTTGATGACGTACGTATTACCATGGGAACTCTTTAACTGTTGTAATGTAAGGACTGGTCATACAACTTTGAAGGGTGTTTATCCTGCATTTCGATGATATTAGTAGCTGTATAACGGCATTAAGAAAATGCAACACATTCAACTTGTATCTCTTAGAAAGATGCTGACCTATATTCCATTTTCAGACAACATTTAAAAAAATAATTTTGTTCATAATCAAGTGTGCATCTTCTTGTACATTGTAAATCCATGTTCATGTATAACGATGCTTCTGTTTGTATACTTGATGTTGTTATTGAAAATATAACGTTTGAAAAAGCTATTTGAAAATTTCCCATTTGTTATTCATCTTACGTATCAGCGTTTAGAGACACAAATGTGGGTGTGTGTGCGTGCGCGCATGTGTGTGTGTGTGTGTGCAGCTACATGTATACTGTGTGAGTCAACAAAAGTTTACACCTAGGATGTTGCTAATTATTTTAAAATTCATCTATAAACAGTAAATTATTATACATCTTATGAAAGAGTGATTTATCCCAAATCATTTGGGACCCTTTGATCTTTGACCCCATGACCCTAGAATCTAATCAGTTCATTGGCTCTGCTAGATACATACATGTCCTGAGTTTGATAGTGATCCATCCGTCGGTTCTATTGACAATGCATTCACAAGCTATTTTTACATACATAATGAACCATGTGACCTTTGACCTCATGACCCCCCATTTTTTTTTTTTTTTTGCATACAAAATGAGCCCTGTGACCGTTGACATCAAAATATAATCAGGTCATTGGCTCTGCAAGATACATACATGACTTAAGTTTGGTGGGAATCTATCACTCGGTTCTTGAGATAATGTGATTACGAGAACGGGACGTATGGACGGACGGAAACCCCAAAACATAATGCCTGCAGCTACTTTGTAGCGGAGGAAGAAAAAGAAGTATTTGTAGAATATGTAATCTCAAGGAAATCCGAGACTGAGACAACAGATACATCAGAAAGAACACATCTTTTGATAAATCAAATCAGTTTTTAATTTCCATTTAGATTGTGACATTTCAAAAATTAAGGTATGCACAATACTCATAAAACTTCAATTCATGCCAAGCATTTTGGATTACAGACATAACTAAAGATACCTAAATCAATTCTATCTCAAATAAATAAAAATTTGGTCACCTACATCCACCTTCCATCAATCATATTATTGATATGTTGGTATAAACAAATACATGCAAAGTTATACAAAACATAATTATACATACCGGTAATACAAAAAACATGAAACAGTTCTATAAAATGTACATATATTCTCCTTTAACTTTTTACATCATTAACATCTAAAATTATTTAGAATAACAGGATTTCCATTACATGAGATTATAGGATTTCATATACAAATATTTCTTTCTGGAGATTAATTTCAAACTAGACTCTTTGTTGACCCTCCCTATCAAATAGTTTTAAAAATAAATATTTATATTATCATATACATGTACATGTACAATATAACTGCACTAAAGAGGAAAGAAAGAAGTTGGGGTATGGCATATTGAACATTAGGTTTCATTCAAACAATGCAACCATTTATAGTCTTATTAACCTTTAATGAATCTCCATGATTTAAAAAATGGGAAACAAATCACTGTAACTGTTGGCTCACAATACATCAGATATATTGAGCTATAAATGTAATACTGAATATCTTAGAAAATATAAAATGAGGAAAGAAAGGACACCATCACAATATGTGTAACATACAGACATTTGCATCGATATAAAGTCCTTTTAAAGGTCCTACACATGTAGGAAAACAGGATAAAAAAAGAATTGATTCCAGATTGAAATCAATGTTGGAGTTGACATAATATAACTTTAATAGCACTTTTGATAGTACCTAAGTTTAAAGGTAAAGACCAGTTTTGGAAATGCTCCCTTCTCAAAAAATGAAATGGAAGATCTTTTTACCGATCATGTGAAAGAATATATTTTGACTAATACGTGATGATTCAAATTTAGCTGGGAAACTGCCTACTAATTGATATATTTGGTAAATTATCATATCTATCCGGGCTGAATAGATATCGCGTAGTATTTCTGTGTACAGTGCTTGTAACTTTAACAAGACTGGGCCAAATTTCTTATCATTTTGAAGATTCCAGAACCTTGCAGTACAAACCAATACTATATGCTAGATGATCAACCTTTTCTGGTCAATTCCACAACGTTTCTTTCACAATGCAATCGCATGACCAGAACTGGTCTGTACCTTTAAGAATGAATGTGATGATTTGAGAATGCAGTATCAGCTGTATTACAATGCTTGAAAGACCATCACCATCAGGCCCTCTTTCACAAAACTTTTTATCAGCAACACATGTCACATTTCTATAATTGCTTTTCCCAAGGCCAATCAAATGCAATGGTTTCAGTAGCTTATAACAATTATTGTGACTTGTTACTGATAATAACTTTTATGAAACAGGGCCGTGAGATACCACAGGAAAGTGTGGATATATACTCTGTATATTCCGTGAGGGCCAAACTTGCACTTCACAATGAGTTTAGAATGTATAATTTTGAAGAAAAAAAAATTAGGGGAGGGGGAAGAAGATATATTAGGCAATACGATGGGCAAGTAATGCTTTACACAATCAAAACGTGGCTCATAGTCTTAAAAAATCATACAAATATTTGCTAAAGATATGGAATGAAAGAGACTCAAGGTTATACTGGACGAAAGCCAAGATAATGCAACATGTATCTTTTGGGACTACTTCAGCCCCCCTCCCCCTCCCCCCAAACATAATAATAATGAAAAGGCTATTACGTTATCCAAGTGAGGACCCTGGCAGTGTAAAGTACACTCAAATATTGTCTAAAGCCATCGATGAACATCATCCCTTCATTTCATAGTCTTCCACGATATATCATGATCAATTGCAAGAGCAAAAACAAAAGAAGCATAACACTGGCAGGATTTGACCGAGTAAGAACAAGGTAATTAAGGTAACATTGATTTGAGTCTCAAGATGGCTTCTTAAAGAACCAACAAAAAAAAGAGATGAATTACACAATTGTATGCCAGCATAGTTCATATCCTTCATAGCACTTGACTTCCCTCAACAGTTCATAGTCTCTGTTGACCCTTTCTTTAGAGTCTCTCCCACCTCCTGGACAAGCGGACGATTGGCACACAGGGTGTGGTCTTCGAGCACTTCTCTGTTGCATGAAGCCATTGGTTCCTGCTCCATCAAGGGTCAGACTACCTGGTAGACCGTTCACATGGCACCCAAAGAGAGCACGTCGAAGCACATGTCACAGGTCCTGACCGGACGGGTGAGATCGTACTTGACGATGGGAACCATCTTGGAAGAACACTTACTGCATAGGATCCTACCGCAGTGACGACTGCAAGATAGAACAGAGAATAGACAGAGAATTACAACAGTTTCCAGTTCTTATTGTAACTGATTCATGGGCAAAGAAAGATAAGAGCATAATTTAATCATCCTGACACATGTACCAGTACAGGGTCTCCCATATGCAAGTGTGGGAGGTGCTTCTCAAAGTATGCGTTTCCCAGCATTTGTCATTAATTGTTTCTTTTTTTATTGATATCTCGTTTGTTTGGAGTCAGGAAGTCATCAACTTGTAGCATTTTGCACAGAGTTCACATCCTTCTCTCTCTCCAAACAGATAATTTTTTTCAATGACATCGATCTTGTTTTGTTGTTCTCGAAAAAAGAACATGTCGCAGGGATACTAGTTGGTTTCATCTAATGAGCCTGAAAAGAGACTGTGGCATGTTGGAGCCCCATGTGTGCTGTAAGATATGAAGCCAGAAGAAATAAATGAGATGGGGAGGTGTCAGGGTCTGAAATCAGGGCCCCGTCTTACAAAGAGTTGATATCAATTGCAACTTATTTGAGATTGATATCAATCTCAACTACGTACATAAGAGATAGGAGACTGCAAACTTGCTATTGATTGGAGGACTTGCAATTGATTTGGATCAATCGCAACTCTTTGTAAGACGGGGCCCAGGCTATGGTCTGCAAAAGGGCTTCCCTGATGAAGACATAATTGAACCTTGAACTTTGAACTTACCAGTGGTGTTTCCTAGTCTTAATGCTGAATTTGACCTGGCAATCTTGACAGAGCTCGCTCTCTGACCAGGCTGGTTCCTTTGATAACATATCTGCAATCACAAATAGAAAGCAAATAATGCAATCAAGCTAGTTTCTTTGCAAACATTTTGATTAGGATCAGTCAGCAAGCTTCTTTCTTCTTAACTTAACTTAACTTGACTTAACTTTAAGTTAACTTAACCCTAATAAGGCCGGGGGGGGGGGGGGGGGGGCATAATGCCCCCCCTGTCAAATTTTTGCCGAGTTTTTTTCCCTCATGTCTCCCGCACATTTTGATACCAAATTTGTTGTGGGCAGACCTATGGTTCGGGTGTTAGGTGACAAAATATCATCACATGTCAATAAAAATATGTAATTCTCACAAATGTGCATGTGTAAGTATATTGCAGTTATATGATCTTTATCAAAATCAATATCATGAGTGATTTATTTCATGTTATGCAGTCATACATTCATGATTGATAATATTAAAAAAAGTTGTTTTTTTCCCTACACCAAAAATAGGTTCTTTTTTTTTCCTCAACACCAAAAAAAAGGATTCAGGAACAAAAAATGGCACCTAACAACATTCCCCGCCTTTTGACTAAGAAAATTTGGGAAAAATTGGTGAAAAAAATATAAAAATTGGGAAACCGATTTAAATCAGGTATCTATCAGGCCTGTGTGCTACAAAAAAAAGAAGATATATTATTGTTTTCATCATGAAATCTGGCAATGACCCTACCTAAAAGCCTGAAGAGCAGTTGCCTGGTGGCCACCTGGGCATTGAAGATGGACACGCCCTGCTTGTTCATGATCCCCAGGCTGGCCCCGGCCCGCACGATGGCCCTACAGATGGCCCCGTTGCCCTTCTGGTAGGCCAGCAGCAGCACCGTGTTACCCTCGGCGTCCTGCTTGTCCAGCGGGTACTGGGGCATGCACTCGCGGAACAGGTCAAAGATGGCCGCCGCGTTGTCCCGCCCGTACTGCCCCAGCAGGTGCATGGGTGTCTGGCCCCTGTGGAGAGATGGAAGTTATATGTTATTTCTTGAGCAGCTCTGGTAAGCATACAAATCTAAGCCTACTGACAGAAATTCAACTGAATTGTATTGTATCAGTAATATCTTATTTTATTTGGTTGCTTTTAAGCTATTGAACATGTTGAATAATTATACTGAGTTAGACATTACTACCTGTGCGCTTAGAAAACGGCTGTATAGACCATTTCGTAGTTAGCACATGGGTCAAATGACCCCAAACATCCACAGATCTTTTACTCATGGAGAAGTCCCACTTTGTGTATTTTAGAATAATCAATGCCAAAGTCATGTATGTGCTTCATGAAAAGCTGTATAGACCATTTCGTAGTTAGCACATGGGTCAAATGACCCCAAACATCCACAGATCTTTTACTCATGGAGAAGTCCCACTTTGTGTATTTTAGAATAATCAATGCCAAAGTCATGTATGTGCTTCATGAAAAGCTTTTGTTTGCCCTCTTGTATCATAAGAATGTACCGTAGGTGCATACATGAATAATGACCACATATCATGAGCACGTATTCCTGTCGGTGGGTTTTACAATTTTATCAGCAATGACCTTTATCTGCCCATGCGCAGATAGTATTTACGAAAAGGCTTATTAAGCGCCCTATAGATGTAATCATTATATTAATTATTAAATGAATATTATAGTATTAATGACTGCTTTGAGGCAATAGCCCAATTGTAACCTTCCCGAGAGCGTATAAAAACAACTATTTCTTGAATATTAAAGCAGTCATTAATACTTTTATATGCAAAAAAAAAAAAAAAAAAAAAAAAACTTTTGTCGAAGATGGGATTCGAACTCTTGCGTACCATAGGTGATGTAACGAAAACCGCCGCCTTAAACCGCTCGGCTATCGCGCTCTGTTACCAAACATAGCAGTTTTTTCTTATATATACATTAAAATGGATTGAAAACGGCTTCGCGTGGTGAAAGCTTCGCGGCTGCTCCATTAAACAGGCCCTTCTTTTACTTTTGCAATGCATATTGGCACGAATTTAGATCAAGATCTATCTGCAGATGTTGTTTTTTTGTTTTTGGAAGTTTATTTTCGTCTTAATGTCAACAATGCAAGATAAAATTGTCGGTAAGATCGATCGAGATTCAATTGTATTGAAATTACCGACCAATTCTTCGCACATGTACGGTATCCTTGATCGCTCAGACCATTTTTTAACATGTAAACCTATGGGGTAACCATGGAGACTGACCTATTTTCCCAATAACCATGGTTATTGGGATTTTGAACTGTTTTTTAAACATGGTTACCGGGAATTTTCGGGAACAGTTAAAGTTTATGAATGCAATTTCGACCAATCAGATTGCTGGATTACTTAAGTGAGGTATATAATAAGTTATATAAATGTAATTATTATTATTATTAAATGAATATTAAAGTTATTCACATAACTATCAACCAATTATACAATTTCAGTCATTGAGTGATATTTCAGCATACAAGCTTGACAAGAGCTCAATTTTATCATTAACAGAAAATCTGAAGGAGAAGGATTACAAAAAAAAATCTAGTATTTTCTGAATTATTTATGTGAGTGATGCTCCTGTTAACTCACCTTGTGTTAAATGCCTCGGCATCGATGCTTGATTCAGTAAGGAGTACCCGAGCACTATTCAGGTTTCCATATTGCACTGCTATGTGAAGAGCTGTATAAATACAATAACAAGAACAAAGGGTTGTCAATTGGAGGACAATTGCTCCACATCTTATATTAGCAGAGCTGCAAACCTTGTGCAACAAAAAAAAAGGAACCATGATGGCACAAAAAAAAGGAATTCATTAGAACGAAACTTACAACCACAAGCGACACACTTCTAATGCAGAAATGTCCATTCCTCATGCTATTATTTCAATATTAGGACCTTCATGTATAGTTAATTAACAAGTAGTTATTTTTTTTATTTTTTTATTTGTTGGGATTATCTGCGTTTGAGAATATTTACGCTTACATCTTTTTTCTTCTTTCTTTTTCCGTTACGTTTGTAAAGGATTAATGAAAAATATTGGCTTTTATGTTTTCTTTCAACTTCCCCAACACAGAGAAAAGCATAATGCATGTTATCTTCTTAAACATCATGGCCCAAATTCACAAAGAAGGTTTGTCAACAAACCTCCTTTGTGAATTCGGGCCCTTGGGTCTGAAAAGGGAAACTCCCTCTATCTATTTATATCTATGTATGTTTATTATTATTTCCATTGCCACAACGACTTCTTTCATCTCCTAAATACATGTGCAAAATGCTTAGAGACACTGTAGACATACATGTATCAGGCACTATGTAAACCCAGTATAGTATTATCATTCTTTCAAATACTAACCACTGTTGTTATTGTCATCTTTGGCATCCACGTTGATGCCATTCTCGATGAGGATACTGCAGATGGTAGAATGGTCTTTAGTTGCAGCCATGTGCAGACCGTTCTGCTTGTGATTGTTGAGGGCCATCACACTTGCACCTGCTAATAGCTACCAAAGGAATATCAGACAATAAGAAATTAAGAGGGGGAAAAAAAAGGATGGGTAAAAACGTCAAAATCTTTAAAAAAATAAAATCAAAGCAATATCTCCAGAAGGGTTCTAGGAAAATTATCCGCTTGGACAATCGAACCCCCCCCCCCCTATTCTGCTTTTATTAAAACTAACTTCTTATCAGGGTAGACTTCCCCTTGAACAGGGGGGGGGGGGGGGGGGGTAATTGTCCTAGTGGCTTCTTTTCCAGGGGTAGTTGTCCTCGGGATGATTTTCCGGGGGCTTTTTATCCTTGGGGGTTGCGTTTTCCAGATGGTCATTTTCTGGGCGGTGATTGTCCAGGGGGTAATTTTCCTGGGGGTGATTTTCCAGGGGGTAATTGTCCGGGGAGGGGGTGATTGTCCAGGGAGTCACGTTTTCCAGATGGTAATTTTCTGGGCGGTGATTGTCCAGGGGTAATTTTTCGGGGGGGGGGGGGGGGTGATTGTCTAGGGGGGTACATTTTACAGATGGTAATTTTATGGGCGGTGATTGTCTAGGGGGTAATTGTCCTGATACGCTCCAGAAGCTATGTGGAAGGGTGAACTTTGCCTTCTCCTAATATGGTATGATACAAGTCATGATTATTTTTACAGGATTGAAAACATTTGAAAGTCAAGAACACGATACTCAGACAAACTCATGAGAAATGGTTATTTAATGAAATGAGACCAATTCCACTAGAAAATGTTAACCTACATAACAGTCACGACATAAGGTAGTTGACTTCTTTGTCGCCATGGTTGAGAACAAAATTCTTCATATTATTTTTTTAATTTTGTGTTTTCTAATTCTCAACATTCCCACTATTTGTTGACTTACCAGGTTCCTGACGATGATCTCCGAACCTGCCTGGACTGCTAAGTGAAGTGGGGTGAGTTGAGACGAGTCTTGAATGCGAGAAGTGACGTTGGCCCGCACGCTGATCAGGAACAACACGCTTTCGATGTCCGACTTCTCAACGGCAACATGGAGGAAGTTTCTGCCTTTGTTGTCCAGCTGTTAGGGGACAAAAGTCCATGCAGTTTTTGTAAAGAGATTTTAAAAGCCCATGATTACTCTCATTACTTTCAAAAAGGTCCACACACCTATCTATGAAGAGTAAAACAAACTCTGCAAGAAAATCTGATGTTCTATAGCTGTTCTCTTTCTTCTGTCATATTTCTGGTTAATGGCACAGTCAAGATGAATTAGAAATAAATATGTCAATCCTTTCAATTTCGACTCATGAGCATTTAAGAGCCTATCATAAAACTTAAACGTTCATAGACTGTTGATAAATTGATATGCATCACACCTGTTCGGCTGCTCGCGGTTCTCTGTCGAGTATTGCCTGGGCGGCTTTGTTGTTCTTGAAGGTAAGGGCAGCAGCGAAAGGTGTCAGACCACCCTTGTCTCGTAACGTCAGATCCAGGACTGGATGGGACATGATGAGACTGATGATGGTCGGATGTTGGTTGCTGATGGCGATGTGAAGAGGCGTTCGACCCTCGGCATCCTGGGTATGATCAAGAAAAAGTAAGGCTGAACATCAGTTTGGGGCTCAACATGACCTTCACATCACGGTCACAATACATGTTCAGGAAAATCATTGCTTGGTACAAAGCAGCATTTTTAGAAAGGGGACCTTGTCCGTCAAAAACCTCATCAGGTCCCTCCCCATTAGGTCTAAAAAGAAAAAGATTTTGTAATGCCCTTTAGGTGCCAGAACCTGGGTCGGTCGGTCAGATCCCCCACCCCCTCAAAACAGCGACCGTCGCCAAAAAAACTCACATCTGGGAACATCACCCAAATCTCGACTGGATTCTAGCTGGTGCAGTGCATGGTATATACATACATGTGCACGAGGCAGGGTCTACTTGTTTATGCTGGCAGGATTTTGAAACTAGGGCAAAAGAAGAGTGAGAATTTGGGAATAATTTGATTATTTGATGCATTTATACCACATTTAAAAAAAAAAAATACATATTTTTAAAATTCATTTAAAAAAAAAAAAAAATTAAAAAGCAGACCGTAGATCTTAAGATTTTTGGGTCGGTCGCAAAGGGCAATAAAACATCTTTTTTTTTTACGCCTTAGGTCCTGGTTAAGTACGACCGTTCACATTATACTCACCTTAGCGTTGATATCAGCCTGATGTTCAATAAGGCACTGGACCACTTGTTCCAGGCCCCATTCACAGGCATGGTGAAGGGGACCCTGACCGTCAAACGCCTCATCTGGACCCTCCCCATTAGGTCCAGGCCTTCTGCTACTGTTCACATCGCACATGCTGTTTCAAAAAGAAGAGACCCAAAGAAATTACTTTTAGGATTCATGAAAACATGCACTTCAGCTAAAATATATTCACTAAATAATACTTCAAGTTGGTCGGCATTTCAATAAAAACTGTAAAACTGTAATTAATATCAGGTGGAAATAAACCAACAAAAACAAGCCAGAAAAGACCAAATAAGTAACCAACATGTACATTAATAATAATGATAATAATAAAAACGTTACTTGTAAAGCGCTTACCACCGAAGTCTCTAAGCGCTAAAAAATGTACGCCCAATGTGGGGCTCGGACCCACGACCCTGGGATTAAGAGTCCTATGCTCTACCGACTGAGCTAACCGGACATTTAGACAAATATTCTGCAACAGCCTGTATCTGTATCGAAAGGCCACCTGTCTTTGAAGACAACATTTTTGTCCAAAAGATGAGTATTTCTAATTGAAACTTCCTACACAGGAATCTGTCTCTAAAGAACAAAAAACACACTTTTCTTGTCCCCCTTGAGGGATTTTTCTTTACAGGTTTCACAGCATCAGTTTGCAACCTACCTCCTAATAAGAAAACATGCGACTGTCTGGTTGTTATCATCAATGGCTCTATGGAGTAATGTCTGTTGCATGCCTCCTTCACCGGTACCCCAAGCCGTTGTATCACAACCATGCCGCACCTAGATGAAAGGTATTAAAGAACACAGGCTGAATAAGGCTTTTAAAGATAAAGTAGATCTCATCTATCCTTTAGCATTTCTCAGCACTCATTGAGGTCCTCACTGATAGCTCTATCGAGTAATGTTTGCTGATAATGTAATTAACATACACGCTACACGTTTAAAGCCTTACTGAACCCTCCCCCCCCCCCTGTAAATACAGGTTTAATCAAACAATGAGTAATATATTTCAGTTTGTTGTTTGTTATAAATTTCTATTCTCCTTACTCTTCAAATAAAAATGGTGCAAAGCCCTGAGTGCTTAGCATCACAGACTAAAAACAATTCAAAATTTACAAAGTGAGTCAATTTCATGTAATGCACTTAAAGCCGTAATGTGTTCCTGGAACAAAATACAATCACTGGGTTATAATTGACAAGGATATGTACAAGGTTGCATCACAGATTTACACCCATCAAAATGTTAAAAACTGCAAGTAATATGCCTTCGCATTTTGCACATGTAATTAGGAGATGAAAGTCGTCGTTGTGGCAATGGAAATTATAATAAAAATTAAAAAATTAAAAAAAAATATAGATAGAGGGAGTTTCTCTTTTAAGACCCAAGATATTTCTTACAGGCATTATATCTATGGAACTTGGACATTTAGGAGGATCCATCACAATTATTCAATTTAGAAATGATTAGATGAAGGCAGGCAGAACCACTCACCAGCGTTGAGGCAATGTCTTCCTGCCCACTCTCCAGGGCTACCCATAGGGGTGGGTTCCCATTCTCGTCGGGGGTGTTCATGTTTGCCCCTCTCACGCACAGGGCATCCACCACCACCGGTAGATGCCTCTTGATCGCCAACTGAAGGGGGTTCTCTCCATCTTTAGTTCTATTAGGGTAGAGGTCAAAGGTTTGATCTTTGATTTGACTTGATTTAATTTACCAATATAAAAACATATAAATAACAATAAACATGAAAACATGAGAAAAAAACATTGGATGGATCGCCCTGCTCAGCTGTGTCAGTGCAGCACAGCTGTTCTACCGAGGGGTCCATTTTACAATACAAAAATAAATGAGAGAAAATGATATATCGCAAATTAAAATTCTTAACATATTGGTATAATATAAATACAACATCGTTTACACAGTATCATGCCCCCACCCACCCTATTATTGATCAATATTAAAATTCTTCTATTTTAGAGGGAAGTAGTTTTCAATGTATGTTTATTGAATAACGTTATGAATTCATTGTAATTTTGGGATGGTTTTAAAGTTGAAGGTAATAATAATAATAATAATAATAATACATGAGATTTATATAGGTTGATAGGGTGTGTTACTGACTTGAAATAATGGGTTAGGGGTGGGTTCCAAATGGACTGTGCACAATAGTTCCTTGTTTCACGAGCCCTTTCTCTCATTACTAGTCTTCCCTTTCCACGCAAGTTTAATTCTTTTGTATTCCTGCTTAAAATCTGTTCACACTCTGACTCAAATGGTGTTTCTAAAACAAATTGATGAATACGTATTTGTTTAAAAAAAACATGCATTATGAGGTCCTCAGGTACATGTCATTTCGATCTCATTATAACTGAGATGGCACAATGGCTCAGTGGTAGAGCAGGGTACCGTAACTGGTACCTCGAACAGGACTTAAAGCCATCAGTCCCCTGGCTGCACATTTATTAGCAGTGGAGTAAAACAAACTAACAAAAAAATAAGCATTTTGATTTGGTGGTCGTTTCAACAAATCCTCATGGTTTTTTATGGCCACCCAATTCCAATAATGCTCTATCTTGTGTTGTTATCTGATGTATCGCTTTATTGTTTAATCATTTTACCTTATTTTGTTCTCTTGATGGATTTATACTGTTATATGATTGTATTTGGTTATGAATACTTTATTGGAATTGAATAAAACTGAATTGAATTGAATTGATAATCTTTGAGTTAAATTTATTTCATGATGGTACAACATTATTTTCATTCAGAAACAGTTGAATTGATCTTTATTTCATTCATCATAAAAACATCATAACAAACATATCAAATATAAAACATAGTGTACAAGTCAAAGAGAAACATTTAGAATAGAATACAACATCAAAAATGTATATGAATGTGGAGACAGCAAGGAAAGCCAAAGGCTTTATTGGTGCTGCCACCAAAACAGTAATACAGTATTATATTGTTGTTTAAAAAGGTGATTAAATTTTTTATTTTTTTTTAATTTAAAAAAAAATGTCCAACAACACTCACTTGATGTTGATATCAGCCTGGTGCTCCAGGAGAAAGAGAGCACTGGACGTATCCTGCTTCTGAATGGCAAGGTGGAGCAGGGTCAGGCCATCTCCCGTTGTGTAGTTGATGTTGGCCCCGGCGTGGAGGAGCTGGGCCGCGAAGCTGTGCAGTCCGGTCCACAGGGCCAGGCCCAGGACGGTCTGGTCGTTGGAGTCGTGGAGGTTGAAGTCTGGGATGATCTGGATACCGTCTCTCGACTGAAGGGCTTGGGCTGTATATCAAAGTAATGAAAGAGATTATTTAATGAATGGTTTCAACCATTGCCTACTAGAACTGGGTGGTTCCTCTAGTGACTCTTGGTGAATGAGAAAAATTTGTAGTCAAAGGGCGTTTTGAGGTTCGGACTCCAAAATGAGTGTTTATGAAATTTGATGAGAAAGCTGAAATCACACTCAAAGACAAGTAGTTTCTAATGACTATATTTTTATTATAAGCTCCTCACGTACCCTTTTTAGGGGAATAATTGACATAATACAACATATCTGTGTCATTACTATTAACGAAATTTAAACAAATATGAAACCTTTCATCAATAGGAAAAAAATCAAACATTTTTCTGTAATCTGTAACAGGGGGGTGTTTCACAAAGATCCTAAGTCGAACTTAACTCTAAGTTGGACTTAAACATTATGGAGAGCCATTTGTAGCCTTAAAATAAAATATATTCAAATGCAAAAAACACAAGTATTTTAGACTTTTCATGAATTCGACATGAAGAAAATGAAATCTCCTTGATAATAGAAAATATGAATGATTGGAATCAACATTTTATGGCTTTTAAAATAACTTTTACAAAATATTGTCAAAGATAATTGTTTAGTCCAACTTAGAGATAAGTTCAACTTTAGATCTTTATGAAACACTCCCCAGAACTTACTTCTATGTTCCATGAAGACACCTACAACTTCAGCATGTCTGTTGGCCACTGCCATGTGAAGCGGTGTCTGTTTGCAGGCCACTAGGAGACCACTATCTCCATCCTGCACTCCTACTACTCCTCCCCTTCCTCCTCCTCCAAAACTTCCACCATCACCACCACCACCAAAGGAACCATTGTCCCCGAAAGGGTTGGAGCTCCCCGCTGAGGAGGAGGTGGTGATTTCCGAAGGGGTGGAGCCAAACCCCATGGAGCCGAACTGGGAGGCGAGGTCAACACCGGTATCTCGGGTCTGGGTGTTGGGGTTGGCACCCTTCTGGAGGAGGAGACCGGACAGCTGGGCCAGGCCGAAGCTGGCAGCGGCGTGGAGTGGTGTCTCTCCCTGTCGAGGGGGAGGAGCAATGAGTCATAGCATTTAATACAGAGATTAACTGTTTTGTGATACATTAGGCCTTGCACAACTCTTCCATACCCACCAACCCCCCCCAAAAAAAAAAATAATAATAAAAATAAAAAATAACAATAATAATAATTTTGTTAACAATTTTCCTTGAATGTCAAAACATTCACGATAAGACAAAAGAGATCAAATTTGAATGGCCTTTTGTGCGATTAAATACCAATTTTAATCCCCTTCCTAGAGACATTAGAGAAAATAACCTCTCCTTTTTTCAGTACTACAGAGAAAGATCCTAGCTAATATAACCAATTGAGGATTATGGCAATAAATGGATTAGAATATCTCAAATATATCATTACAAACAATCAAGAAATGAAGAATAAATAGAACATAAAAAAACATCTGCAAGCTTTCCAACTGGAACTACAACTTGCTTGATTATCTGATAGTTGTTAATTACATATAAAGTGATTTATTTGTTTTAATCAACAACAAAAAAATACTAGCAACACATTTCTTTTATTTGAATTGGGATAAGACTTTTTAGAGATGGCTTCAAATACAAGAAGAAAAAGACAAAGTTAACTTCCGTCTCATATCATATTTACCTTGAAATTGGCAAGATTTGGCGAAGCACCATGAGTAGCTAGGAAGAGTGCGCCCTGCTCGTTTCCTGCTCTGGCTGCTCTGTGCATCAGAGTATCACCTGCAGCCATAAAGAACATATCATTTAGCAATAAATGTCTGAGTTTTTTTGTACACTGGGGGGTGTTTCATGAATCTGTGCACAAAGGTACGAATGACTTTACAAATGATTTGAATATGAAGAGCCAAATGAGATGCCCAAAGTTTTTCCTGACATTTCAACAAAGTGTGACTGTATTTCCCATAATCTTCATATTCAAGTCATGCCTAAGTTTACGCACAGCTTTATGAAACACCACCTGTTTTCTTTCCAGAAGACATCAAAATACACATGGCTAGATAAAATCGATAGAAGGATAAACTCACTTCCTTTTCTGTCTATATTTAAGAATAGTATTATATACAAGTATCAATGTTTTGTACAGTTCTGTCTGAATAATTCCACCACTTGAATAGATCTAACTACCTACTTAACAAATTGCATTCTTACTGGCAATACCTCTACAGATACTAAAAGTGAAGTATATATATATATATATATATATATATATGAAGTGCATGTAGCTCTAGCAAAGTATTCACATTTGAAATTCAAGAAATTGGATTTAATTTTCCACAACCATAGTAAAGTAAACTCTTTTACAAAGATATTACAATGTACTTATAAAATGAGATTAAAACTAAAGAGTACTGTTTGTAGGTAAAGCTCCGAGTATTGAGTATCCCTTCCCCCACTTGCAAAAGAAACATAATGGAAAGGAAAACACAAAGTATTAATAGAGAGCAACATTCAACAGAAGAAAAATGGGTTTTTGAATTCAGCATTTTTTCCTTGGAATATAAATAACATATACTGGAGAAAATATAATCCTGAGCTTATCGAAATTCCCGCAATGTGTATCACCAAAGTTGATGACCTGACCTTACTGCTGGGTCAAAGGTCAGAGGTCATACCTGTCTGTGGGTTGATGGCATCAGGACTGCACCCTCTCCTAATGAGCTTGGCAGCGAGACTGTCTTCGTTGTAACTGGTGCTAGTGGCAGTGTTATCCAGGGCCCACCACAGGGCGGAATCTCCATCGTTATTCAGCAGGTCAAAGTTGATCCTAGAAAGAAAAGGGGAAAAAAGGGACTTTAGTGAGGGTATGTACAGTTCTAAAGTATATGTCTTATATCACAATTAAATAATGAAAATACAGTATTTCAATTTCGTCCTGAACATCATTTTAAAACATGCACTGTAATCATATCTATCTTGTCTTAAACAATACCCTAGTTTGTGCATGTGAATCTCAATTGATTTTATCCCCATTCAGTCTGATTTAATGACATCATTCAATGTTCATACACTTTATTATTAAATACACAAGATTTCATACAACTACTAAGAAAATGTATAAACTTTTTTTTTTCTTACTTGGGTGGGTATCAATCTTACATGATTTTAAAAATATGTTGCACATGCAATCCTGGCTAAAAAAATAAAATAAAGTCATAGATCGATAGTTTGGATGGAAGGATGACATATGGCTGATTGTAAATGAAAGCAAATATTAATCCAAGGAACCAACATAAATACTTACAATTTGTGGACTAAGAGTTGATCAAATACAGCTGTATTTCCACTTCCTATTGCAATGTGAATGGGGGTACTGAAAAAAAAAATCCAAATAGATAAATTTACTTGGTGTAATCAATGTCAATATCATTTCATAAAATTACTGCTTACTCTATCTCTACTGTCTTATTTGTTGAATATCACTGGTTTAGTCATTAGTAATTGTATTCATCAATATAAATATCATCTGTTTGAAAAAAAGCATGTATACACGATATGAAGACATTCTCATTACCATGCTCGTCAATATTATGATTGAGCATTCCAACATTAACTTCCTACAACATTACTTTAACAACCAAAGCACAATCGTGCATCACCATCATCATCATCATCACCGCCACCATCATCACCATCATCACCACCACCATCATCACCATCATCATCATCATCATCACCACCATCATCACCATCATCATCATCATCATCACCACCATCATCACCATCATCATCATCATCACCGCCACCATCATCACCATCATCATTATCATCACCACCATCAATTTCATCATCATCATCTTCAATCATCACCATCATCATTATCACCATCATCATCATCACACTATCATCATCATCATCTTCAACCATCAACATCACCACCATCAACATCATCACCATCACCACCATCAACATCACCACAATTAACATCACCATCATTATCATCATTATCATCACAATCATCGCAATAATCGCCATCATCTTTATCCTCCTCCTCCTCCTCCTCTAACCTACTTACTTTCCCTTACTATCCTGAGCATTCGGGTTGGCCCCGCCCTGCAGTATCTGCTCCGCTACCCTGACCATGCCCTCCAACTGGGCATCGTCGGTCACAATGGGGTTGAAACCAGCCACCATGTGAAGGGGCGTCTCCCTGTCCCCCTGGGTAGCAGCGTTGACATTGGCACTGGACTTGATCAGGAAGTTGGCAGAGAATTCATCCACTACACCAAGTAAGAGACAGACAATAAAACATTTCACTATGAATCCAAGGGTTCAGTGACACAAAGATGCAACTCCATATTTTGCCAAAATGAGTAATTGATATCAAAATGTTCACAAAAATGTGGGCTTTCCAGGAAACACAAGGTCTTAACTCCACCCAACACCCCATTGAAGTCAATGGCTAGTGAAAGTAGACTTAACCCCTTGTGCTCAGTGACACATAAACCATTTTTTTCTCAAAATGGCCAAAATGGAGTTACGTCTTTGTGTCACTGACCCCTCGAATCATTGTTTGTGAAAACAGGTGCTATGATAAGTCTTATCATAAGGTATTGGGATGTCATTTCGTTTTTTAGATTGATACATTATTACTCTTGCTCTCTCTTCATCTTGTTTATTTTGTTCCTGTTTCTTTTCATGTTTCATGTTGTAAACATAGTACAACTTTTCAAAATGTGAGGTAACTAAAGAGATGATTGGAACTCAAAATAAAAGAATCGCAACAAATGCAGACCTACTGAAGCTTTTCTTCTTGCACTCATCAGAATAAATCGCAAGAATTAACAGAAAATTAAGATTTCCAGGAAGCTGGAACATATATACCTCAAAACTTTTATTTGTGATAAAATATTCAACATACAAATACAAAATTTGATACATTAGAGATAGCGAAATCTCCAAATCTGGGGCATTAAGAGAATCACGATCTTCTTTTCATCTCTCCTCACATTCTTCTAACCCTAAGACATTAAACATTACAAGAAACTTTCTCAAAACCTTCATGAACTGACCTCTCTTGATGGCTTTGTGCAGCAGACAATGACCCTGTCGATCAGCTCTGTCCACGTCCACTCTGTGCTTGACCAGTTCACTGGCGATACTCTCTTGCTTCGAGGACAGAGCCAAGTCCAGCGGGAGGTCGCCCCTGTCGTCCACCTCGTTCAGTTTCCCTGGCAACTGCATTTATAATAGTGAACAGAATAGAGGTGTCACAGTGGAGTGCTTTAATCACTTGACTAGAAATGCAAAGGTCTTATGAATTTGAGCAAGATATTTTATCTAAATTGCTCCTCTTCACCCAGGTGTTAGATGGGTACCAAGTAGATGCGAACGCTGTTGTGGTTAAATTAGAATGAGCACACCCATAAATAGGCGACTTAAAGTTAATTTCAACTTAGGATCTTTGTGAAACACCCCCAGTTCTATTCTATGACTCCTCGGCGCAAAAACCCCGAGAGTCTTACCTGGGCATCATACTCCATGAGGAAGAGAAAGACGATGTCTTCTCTCCTATTCCTGACGGCAGTATGGAGAGGGAACGGTGCCTTGGTCTTGAACATCTTGTACAGGAGAGGGGCGGCCATGTTGCCAAAGTCCTCGCTCGTGAAATCATTCTGGAAAAGGTAACGATATAGAGTTATTACCTTCAGAAAGGCCTTAAAAACACATCTTTTTTGCAGTTTGCAGTTGTAAGACTGTTTTTCTTATTACCGGTATATGTATTTATGTAATTTTGATTTTTATTATTATAAGAAATAAGTAATAATAATAATAATAATGATAATAATAATAATAATTTACTCCATGTAATCACGATGTAAAGTAAAACAAGGCATGGTAAGATACACGTACAATGTTATCATCAAAGGGATTCATAAGGAATGTGATCAACATGAAAATATTTCACATGCTGAGCTTTGCGTTATCTCTACGTAATGAGAAAGGGTCCAATATAAAAGACCATTTAATTGTTGTTTCTGTGGGGTTTTTTAATGTCAAGGTTATGGTATGTACAATATGGTAAAATTAAAAAAAATACTAGGTTATGACAATAAAATTATAACCAATTTCATTACAAAACGTGTAAATATTTGAGGTCAAAAATAAAGTTGAGTTCTAGTCATGCGATTGCATTGTGAAAGAAACGTTGTGGAATCGATCAGAAAAGGTTAATCATCTAGCATATAAGTATTGGGGTGTGTACTGCAAGGTTCTGAAATCATCAAAATGATAGGAAATTTGGCGCCGTCTTGGTAAGTTACAAGCACTGTACACAGAAAGATGTATATGGGACTAGACGAACAAGTGGCATAAAAATCTGTCCCGATTTGTATGATGTTACATGCGATATTTAGAATATTAAGGCATTTGAAGAGCCATGCTTTTCAGGGAACATTTTTTTATCTGATGTTCTTCAACACTTGCAAAATACAAGGACGACGCTCACAAATTATTTTTCACCTCTTCCCAGACCTCAACCTTCTCTTTAATGACTATGAAACCAAAACTATCATCATCATCATCTCATCGGGCTTGCAATGAATAAAAGCCAACTTCTTCTTTCTTACCCAATGACTTGAGATGAGTTCTGAGCAGTAGCCCTTGAGCTGCATGGCACCGATCTCCTCTGCCACCTGGTAGTAGCGGATGCAGTTCCGTACGTTGACAGATGACATCAGTGTCTTCTCGCATCTACGAAGAAAGAAAAATTATTTGTTCTTTGTCTTGTTCTTTTTTGTGTGAGCATTAAGGGGTGGGGGGGGGGGAGGGGGGTGAGGGCAAAGAGAAAAACTGAAGTTTAATGGAGTAAGCAATACATCCATAGTAAAACCCTATGGCGTCAACATTTTTGTTTATACTGTTAGCTGTGTAAATATATCCTGTCTAACAACATGTATATATTAAAGGTAATACAAAGTTTTGGGAAATTTTGAAAATTGGTCGGATAGTGATTCTTAACAAATTTGATTTGTTTGGATGCCCCTGTGGGTGTATTATATGCATTAGGAAATTTAGCCCCTAAAGCATTTCTGCTTTTGAGAAAAATTGAATATAAAAATTTACCGGTGCTCCCGGTAAATTTTGATAAATTTCAATTTTAGCGCCTACGGCCGTACAATGGTAGCTGCGACCAAAATCTCAGAATATGTAGTTGTGCTATATAATTTCCAAACGGGAATAGCTAATCGGTCGATTTTAGTCAAGAAACATTGTTCTATAGCTTAATTAATATCTTGACCTTGAGAGGGAGCTATACAACATAAAGAGTTTATTATTTATAATTTCATATTTTTAGTCTCGATTTCAACCGCGACAACGACCACTGAATATTATAGGATCGCATATGCTTCCAATATGTTTATTTGAACCAAATTTATGACCCATACCAAAACTTTGTATTACCTTTAATGCAGATCATGATATTCAGAAACAAAAATCTTTGTGGCAACCCCCAACTCCCTGAGCATTCATTGCTTGATACACTCCTTCAATGTACTATCTTTCAAAAGCAGTTTCATTCTGTATCCCTCTTTCATTTGACCACCACATTGATTGATCGATTGATTTGAATTTATTCCATTTCATATATTAATTGTTTGCATAACTGTTAGCACATTGAGACTGTCAACAAGCATACTCATCAAGTACCAGTTGCAACTTACGTAGCTTTTTTGAGATCGATACAGTATAAATATGATATGCACAACAAAAATGTACACCAGCTGTTTACACTCGGCCAGAGCGACCTCTTCAAAATCAATGCATCCTGTTCACACCGTGTAATTCCGCAACAGAATACACGAGCTCGCGGGAAACTTGTCTCTTGTGTATACATATATGTGTGAAGTGCATGCAACCACAAACTTCCTTTAATGACATGAGCAATGGCATCCTGTCTATGTTTTCTTTTCAAACGCCCCCTGTAGTATATGGAAAGATGCTTGTGACTCCCATGTATTTACAAAGAGTCAAGTGCACAGATTTTCATATGCACCTCAAAGGGAGCGTAGCTTGGCAAATACTGGTTAACGCCATCTACGTCTTCTTTTGGACAACTGCACGTAAAGGAATGGACTTCAATAAAGGTAGTCAGCGACTTTATCTTTACATGGTCAGCATTCAAATTATTGAATTGAATTGAATTGAATTGAATTTCTTTATTGTCAAGCACAAAATAGATAGAAGGCATAAAAATCGTCTTACGGCTCACATTTGTATAAAATATAACAATACATTAACATATCATAGACAAATAACTACAAATAACATAACAATGTAATATAATTGAACCTCTCTGTTGAGAGCCAAGGGAATTATTTGATCATTTGTACTCCCCTGGCTCCCACCAGACAATACTAACTTAAATATATTCTAGAAAATGTACATGACATCAATTAATGTCACATTTAAATAGAAACATTGATTGTAATCAGCTCTTCAACCCACCTATCCTGTAAGGGCACCAGTTTGAACTTGCTAGCCGCTCGAAGGAGGTCCAGAACAAACGTGTCGTCTTGCCTCAGCGAGATAACGTCAGTGTAGACCCACTTCAGCAAGTCCATGCCCACCTCAAGCCCAATGTCTGTAATAGTGTTGAAATTATATACATTATGTTTTTCTCTTATTTCTATATAATTTTTTTAACTACGGTAGAGCTTTTACACATTTACCATCATCCTTTGACTTTTATGACCTAGCAGAGATGTTCTTTGATGTTATTGTTGTTGTTGTTGTTGTTAACCTTGCTCAATGAATGCTGAAATTCTCAGTAAATTGAATCTACCGGTAATACTACAAACTTTTCCATCTTTCTATATATTTGAAAGTGAACCTAACTCTAATTTTGAAACAAGAATATATTCAAGTATATGACTGTATCTATTCAAAATGGGGGAAGAAAAAACAAATCAGAGTTGTTCCCCTAGCTAATGATTTTCAGATGATGTACTGGTTACTTTAGAACTTTAACTCGGAAGCATACAAAACTTTGGGAAAACCTAAATAACATCTTGCTACATAAGTGACAAGTTTCAAGTACAATGCATCATAATTAAACGCAATAACAATTCACAATAATGTGTAAATTTATACAATAACGAAAAATATTGGTGGTTGAGAATCAGAAAGATTTGCTTCTATTCACAAGAAATAGTAAAGAAAGAAAGAAGTGTTATGTATTTGTATACCTGTAAAATCAATGCTCTGTACATCGGCCAAGTTGGGTACTCCCCAGTGGTCACTTCGGGCAGCAAGGACAAACTTGTGAGCTTTGACCTCTCGACCCGCCAACCTCACGACCAGATCACTGTTAAAAATATAGATGATGAATGAAATGAATTGAAATGAATCACCATTTATCGTCCCTTTCAGGAAATTCTTTTTTCACTAGTTTTACAGTCATTGTACATGTACATACTACAATAATAGCAAATGTACATCATCACAAATAAAATAATATTCTGAGTATTAGTAGGATGGAACATTTTAAGGACGTTATAGAATATACCCATACCTGCCAACCTGAGACAAGAGAAATTAGGAGTAAATTTTTCTGGATGGACTACGAGGTCGCGAACCACCGAAGGATTGGGGTAGTAGCCCGTAGATTGGGGGGGGGGGGGGGGGGGGGGGGGGGGGGGGGGGGGTACACAGGACTTTAGGGTCTATTTTTTTTTCCCATGTCGCTGTGTATATCTTCTATGAGCGCAAGCGCGGATGTCGGCGTGATCTGGTTATCAGTGCTGTGTTATGCTTTAGTCTTATACATACATACATACATATTGGTATTTATTGAGCGCCTTTATACAAACATAATAGTTATATACTCTCCAAGTGCATTACACTCTAAAAAAAAAAAAAAAAAAAAAAAAAAAAATAAATTAAATTTAAAAAAATCGGAGTTTTGAGGCATGCACTCGGAATTCGGAGTTGGTATGAAAAATGCGGAGGAACTCCGCCTAAATCGGGGTGGTTGGCAGGTATGTATACCCATACTAAGTGCAATAATACTTTAATAAATCCATGGAAAACGTATGCATATATGGACCTCAAGTGATGTACTTTTACACAAATATAAACTTTGAGATGTTAGGGCAATTTGAAATCATTACTAATCTAAATACTGCAAGACAAAAACTAACAGCATGAGTTAATAAAATAAAATAAAGAAACATTTGGATAAGAATCTAAATATGCATGTATATCAAATTGTTAGCAAAAGCGTGCTATTTGCCGACAGTGTAACAAAATACAACACAACGGAAATGCACTTTTATCAGCTTGTGCTTAAAGTAGTCACTGGAAGAAAATTCACAACAACTGATAATTATGGACAGATTATGGATGGAAAGATTTTCTCTGGAAAAACATGAATAACCTGCTGAAAATCATATAGATATCATGGAAAGTAAAATGCAATTTTTTGGCTAGCAGTGTCTTGCGTGTGACTTCACAAGTCTTGATGCTCTACGGAGGACTGCTGAAGGCAGAAAATCTGGATCTCAAAATTAACATTTTTGAGAGATGAATACTACATGTACGGGCCCCAAACATATTGTGAAGAGGGAAGTTGTTATATTTGATCAGTAAGGCTTCCCCTTTGCAATGATATGAATTTGGTTCAATTCATAACACTTTTGTTTCTTTGGGTGACTACTTTAAGGCAGCTGCAGAAGAAATAAAATGAATAAATAATGCTACCTGTACAGCTCCTTGTCAAACAAGTCAGCAACGGTTGCCAGGAGCCTTGACACAAAATTGCCCTCTTCTCCTTTGCCTCCGCCACTGTTTGCTGCCGTGGCAACATTGTACTTCTGCTCTACTTCAGCGAGGCGATTCTGCAGTTTAACGTACTCCTGTCGCAGCAGGTCCAAATGACGCTGCAGCTTCTCCGCTTCTGCAAGAATGTTCAATAACATGATTAGAGTTCTAAATTGACTGTTTGAAGAGTAATTCCAAGTATGCAGATTATAACGTAACACAGTGACTGTCTAGTAACGTTTGAATTAAAGATGGGACCATTCACAATGAAGGCAAGACACACCTAGTACACAGCAACATGTGACTATTAATTCACAATCGACAGCGAGAACAAAAACGGGAGTCTATTCAAATGCTGCTAAAAATATTCCATGAATTATTCCATGTATTGCAAATAGAAAGAAACACAAGGAAAATATACACCATCAGCAGATATTCAACACAGTCCCCAGTATCATTGCAATTTGCAATTGTCCTACCACAGACTAACATCATCTCTTTCTGAGTGCTTTTAAAAGTGTGAACTATGTTCCAAAACAATTTTTCTATCAAAAAATGGCACAGTTTGGTCCCGAACAACTGTGGGGAGAGAGAGGAACACTTAGATTAAGCCAATTTAGCGATGTTTTTATACAGGCTTTAATCCCACATGGAGATTGTAATTACGAATGCACTAATGGGTGACAGGTGGGATTATCACATCACAATGGGGATTATCCTCTCTGAGGGGAACATAGGGGAGACAAAGGGGAGATAAAGGGGAGGGGGAGAGGGTGATATGGAGGGAAAATTTGATAGGATGAGTCGCAACAAAAATAGAGGTTCATTGATTTGGTACAGAAAAATAAGTTGAAGACAAATTATATGAGTTACACAAATTCATCGCATATTTTCTTGATAAAACTGCATTTCCATACATCTCCATACACAGCAGGGGGTCAAAACAAGTTGCAAATTACTGTAATTTACTGAATTGTTACTGAATATACATGTTCCAAATTTAGTCATTAGTGAAGTAATTAGAAACTGAATTGAAATGGATTATGTAACCTTATTCATTGTGTAGATTAGAATTAGAACATTCTTATAATATCATGCATATTTTTGTTTTGATGTAAAATAATAGTGAAAATAAGGGGTTGGCAGGAAAAAAGAAAATGGAGGGGGGGGGGGGGGAGGGTGGGGGAGATGGGTGGGGGAGACAGGCATCTAAGAATCAATTTTATGCGCCCTAATAGAAGGCAACGGGACAGAGAAGAGAGGGAATGATGAGCGCAATTTGCTCAAGATGACTTCAATACATTGTAACAACAGGGGATAATTAGCCAATGATGTCACACTGCCAATAAATGTTTTGTTTAGATAGGGGGGGGGGGGGGGGTGAACATGTGTCACAAGTATAATGGATCCTACAACAGAAAATCGGTAATTCTAATTGTATCAATTTATATATTTGTCACACCTGGAAATGATTAATGAGAACTCAGGAAGGGTTATGAATCATCCAGCGACACCAACATGACCTAAATTTCACGATTCACCAGTGACTAACAAAACAATTGTAGGGCAGCAATATTTCAACAGGAACTTTTCACAGCCATTTTAACGCAGTGAGGCTAGGTTATCAGGGTTTTTTTTCTTCAGGAAATTGGGGATTATGAAATTCATACTTTTTTCCTATAAAACATTTTGTTGTTGTTGTTGTTCTATGTGTTTTTGTTTTTGTTGGGGGGGGGGGGGTGTCTCGTTTTTAAATGAGTTTGATTTCAAAATGGCAGAAAGATTGTAAAATATTGATCTTAGAATAATACTAGATTTTACAATTCAATCCGTTTCAAAGTAAATAAGTTCATCCTACACTTTACAGACAGAGAGTATGTGCTGAGCAAAACATAAAATGAGAGGTCTAAAAAAAAGAAGAAGATAGAAATGAGATTGAGATATTAAAGTTCAAGCGCCACAGTGCATCGATGGCGGGCTGCTATAAACACACCGTTTTATATTTCTATTTTGTTCTCTCGGCGATACCATGGTCATGTTGCTTCCTACTAGCTGAATCAGCGATTTCAGTAAATTTTGCACCATATCAAATATTTTTAGTTTTCATGTTCATTTTTCAGGTAGGTAGTAATATTTTGTACAATAAATAGAAAATTTGGTTTGTTGATTTTGTTCATGTTTAAACCCCTTTGGGGAATATTTTTTACCTCAACATCCCAACTCTTGAGTGAAATAAAAAATGCAAATTGTATTTGTATTCATGTTTTTAAGAACTCAAGAGCATGCATACAGCGAATTGCGTACCTAGGTGATATGATAATATGAAACATGATATTGATATTACCCATAAATCTGAATGAAGAGAGATGTAAACAAAACCTCAAATGTGTTCATAATCACCCATTCCCAGACCCGACAAACCGTGCAAACTACCTTTGTTCGCTAGCTGGACTCTCCTAGCTACATGTATATACTCATTCAAAGCACTTTTGTAATCAGTCAAGAATTTAACCAAAAATGTGAAAATTTGATACCAGAGTGAAAATGATATGCTAACATTCTGTGTTCCTGATGATAATGAGCTAAACCCAGACGTTATTTGTGTGTCCAGAGAGTTTGTGTATCTATAATCTAGTTTATCTGGACAGTTGATTTAAAAGAGCAATTAGATCTAGTTGAAGAAATTTACAAAATTTTACACATAGATCTAGATCTAGAATATTTCAATTTTCATAAATCTTCAGACTTATAATATTATAAAGGACAAATATTCATGACATTGATAGTGCTATTGGTGAATATTTTCCATTTAATTAAAAGGCCAAAGAGAAGTCTTTATATTTGTTAATATATTGTTTCGACATCCAACCTCCCACTCATATCAGCTAACGATTTACAACAATACGTCAGGTACTCAGGAGGTGTAACATTTATAGTTTTGCCATTATTTATCCAAACACGTACATTTTATTTCAAATCACAAAGAATATTCAAGTCCACAGTGGCACAAAAATCACACCAATATTGCAATTAATAGTCCGAATGACTTCACTTTAGTCTTCACTTAGCCAGTCTAATTTATAGGGTCGGCTCCTCTCTTCAGATTCAGAGGCTAACGAACGAAAGAGACAGAAATTTTCGGTCTAGTCTTCACTGTACATTTTAGTTCAACTCAATCCAAGCCTGATGTTTCCGACTGTCTCAATTCAATTCAATTCGGCGTTTATTCAATTCCATAATAAAACATTTCACATTTCTCATTCATTCGATCATTGATTCATACACATGCAGATCGACACCGAGACAGGGCCGGTATCGGGAGCTCTCAATTCGTTCATAATTTAGGATGCAGGATCATGAGAATGTGCCCTAATTTACGTCTGAATTACACTACTGTCACTGAATAAACAACATGTTTCAAAAGGCATATCAACCTCTCAATTCAACCAGCGGTATAAAACGTAGATCTATATAAAACATTCACAACAATATGAACAGACACACAATAAAACAAGAAACACGCCCTTACCCTCCGCCATGATCAGTCATACACACGATAATGAACACGGGTACCGGAAGTGATTGGTCACTGCATGACGTGACCCGCGAATCAAAACATTTTGTTCGCTGAATTTGAGGAGCTAGGCGGGGAAATCCCTATTTTTCGAACTCTGACGAGACAGTTGGAATTTCTAACTCAGCTCGATACCACCATATTCTTTCATCAAGAGCAGTGAGATTTGATTCTTGAATTATTATCATTCTTTTTCCTGGCGATGGATTTGGATCTACAATTCATATTCATCATATTTTTTGTTGCGTTGCGTTGTCGATCTGCTACGCTAGCTTGCATGGCATGGCATTGCCATTGCACTCTCCGGCCGCGCTGCTGTGTAGGGCCAGGGGCGGTACTGCCAGGGGTGGTGTGGATAGCCAGGCCCAGCCGTAGCTCTAATTTCTCTAGCACTTTTTGCTGCAGCCTAGCCTACGTCCTACGCACGCGCTAGATTGGCAAGGCCAGGCCAGGGCCAGGCATTTCAATCTATTAGTATTAATGCATTGCAATTTGACTCTCTCACTGACCTTACTAACCTTAGGCTCAACTGAAATTGTAATGTTAATTCTACATGTATACTAGCCATTTAGGCCTATTATTTAATGACAAAATTGTAAAGCATCGGTACACTAGTATTTCTTATGATGCAAAAAGGGTGTTGTAATAAAATGCATAATGAGAATAGATCTACTGATACAACTTAATTGCTTGTATATTTTGGGCCAATGAGAATTTGGTTCAAGCCAGAAGTAGAAGTGAGAAAAAAAATAGATCTAGACCTGCGCACTCATGGAATATGAGCCACATTAATCCTGTTAACTGACATTAGACTATAGAAGGGTCTACAGCAATTAAAAGAAGGGCAATTCCACGGTAACGGAAGGACACTCAGACAAGATTTTTGAACTTCAGGTTCATACTAAAAGAACTGTTTTATTAGTATAAGATGTGAAACAGTACAGATATAAATATAATACCTATATAAGTGCCTTTAATTCTCCCCCAAAAAATTGTCATTATAGTTAAGTAGTTTAAGAATGTGCATATTAATTATCTCGGTAACGGAAGGACATAAAAATGGACATGGTTTTTCCAGTTAATTAGTGTTTATCCAAACTTTGTGAAGTTGATGAAGCTTTCCACTTGACTGAAACACATTTTGTTCCCCATAGTTTAATACATACTAATAAAACATTTCTTTTAGTATGAACCTGAAGTTCAAAAATCTTGTCTGAGTGTCCTTTCGTTACCGTGGAATTGCCCAGAAATGACTTGATATTGTAGTCACAAACAAATGAACACGTTAAGGTTTTGTTTACATCTCTCTTCACTCAGGTGCATGGGTGCCAATTAGGGCTAGGTAATATCATTATCATATTTCATACCATCACTTAGGTATGCAATTACATGAATACAATTCCTCCTGATCTTTCATAGCCACCTTCCCTGAAGCTAGTAGTAATTACAACAGAGTGCCCCACAATGAGTTGATCATCTGCCCTTTGGTTGCGAGGTTCTTGATAACTGAACTGTTTAAGTGAACTGGCACTAGCAATCACTTTGGGGTTGACAAATTGCACCAAGATGTTATGAAGTAATTTGTGTACATGGGGAAGGTGGATCTTTGGTTCATCTTGATGAAGCTCCAGATAGAGGACATTGTAGAAAGGGATTGTATGCTGCAAAACATGCAGTATAGTTTGTTCTTGTCAGTTAATTTGTTGTCAGTTAATTTAACTCTAAATAGATCAAAATCAAAGGCAAACTTTACCTGGGATTCCAGTGAAAATTTCTAGTTAATCCTCCCCCCCACCCCCCTATGTGGGTGCGGCAAGGATTTATAATACTGTCTGTGTATTGGGGGAGGTTGACGAATGTCAGTTTTATTAAAGAATTCCCCATACCAGACAGTTATTTCTGTCTAGATTGGCCTTTTATTTTTTTTATTCAATCATCTGAATATGAATATGAATAATGAAACAGTTGAGAGCAGTCAATAATATTTAAGTATTTTTTATTTCATGTTCTTATTATTTTAAGATATAGGGCAGGGTTCTTAATCTTATTGCAGTTAGCACTGCAAAGACTAGTATCAGAGGATGCAGAACTTTTGGTTTTTGTGGTTGAATGGTGTGATGAACAGAAAATCAACAGACCTTTAAATTATGCATTTTCTTCCTTAACAAGATTTTACTACAGGTACAAACAATTGTGCATGTAAAGTGCAATTCTGCAAAAGTATCTTTAACCTTGACTCAATGATATCAAGAAATTCAATTTTAAAATTCCAATAGATTAGAGCTCAAATTGATTAGCAAAAAGTAGTATTTTTGGTTACCGGTACTGCCTTCATTATATTTAAAGCAAATTATTCAAATTTACCCTTGTTTTTATTTTGAACTTCTGTCGGGGGAACCAATAAAATGTCATGTTAACTACTTACATGTACATTGTATTTAGGTTAAAAAACCTGGACTCGTGATGCATAAAAGTCCATATAGAGAAATTACAGGGGCTCTTTTTCATTAAATTGAGTCTGTAACAGTGTGTAAGACTGTATCTCTGTTTATTTCAGTGATAAGAAAGATGGTAACGGTATGTTAAAAGTAAAAGCTGCAAAGTAATTTTTTCTATTTCTCTTTCTCTTTCTTTCCTCCAGAGCTGGTCGATATAAAAATATGGCTCACAAGCGGCCAATGAGCGTACATGTAGATGAGTTAAAGTCCTTCAATCTCTTCTCTGCATTTGGTGCAGATGGTAGGCTGAAAGTTCCTCGACCCACTGCACAGGACCTGGAGTCGGGTAAGTTCTCGTCTCCAGCTTGCATCCTAGGCCCCATTTCACAAAACTTGTCATCGGTGACAAATGACAGTTTTTGTTATAAGCTAGTGAAATCCTTGATTTGTCCCTGATTTTTTTTCTCCATTTGTCATTGAAAAAAGGCTTTATGCAACTGGTCCCAGATCCTCTTCTTTGCAGTCTATCTTTCTCTAACTGTTACTCTCTCTCTCTCTCTCCTTCTCTCTTTCTCTCCCTCTAGTTACGTTTCTTTTCGTTCCAATCGGTTTCGTCCATCTCTGTCCGTCTCTTCATTTGCCCCCCCCCTCCCACCCCACATCCGTTTTCATTGAAACTGATAAGCTTACTTAGGTAACTACATGGATCAATATTTGACCATCTCCACCCAGGTGTAAACATTCACTTGATATGCTAGAGTGCTACACATTTAATACTTACTTATGGATTCTTCTGAACACAGGCTTAAGCCTCTATAATATATTCAGTTCCAAATTCCGTCTTCTCGTTTAGTTGGCCGGATCTTTACTTAGACGTACATGAAGTTGGGTTGATAATATTGGAGTGCTGGGATCATCACAGGGCATCTCAATGGACTTGAGCAACTCACAAGAATACTATTGTGTTTGTTGTTGTTGTTCTTAATTTCAATATTATTATTATTATTATTGTTGTTGCCGTTGTTGTTGTTATGGTTGTTAATGTTATTAATGTTATTATGTATCGATTTCCAACTAAGTTTGTAATATCTACCACTACATCTACTGTGTACATTATATACGTTGTATATGGACCAAGTTTTGTATCTGGAGCCATTTCTTATTTTCGAAAGCTTGCCATCTTGTAATTCTTGTAAATCAGATGAAGAAGAAGACTTGGAGGATCTCAAAGCAAAACTGTCCGGACCAAGTAAAGGAAAAGGAAAGGCAAAGACTGCGCAAAAGAGGAAACAGAAGAAGAAGAAGTATGATGACAGCGATGAAGATGAGGAAGTGGTTGACCTCATGGCAAGGTACATTTCAAGTTTCATGAGTATTTATCCTATTTACTTCAGGGGACCGTTTCACAAAGCCCTTTTTCAATGCCAAATGACAAAAATCAGTGACAAATCTGCTGATAACCAATCAGAAGCAAGGATTTCAGTAGCTTATAACAAAAACTGTCATTTGTCACCAATGACAAGTTCTGCTAACCCCCCCCCCCCCCCCTGAATTATCTTGTTCCTGTATTGGATGAACCATCTGGTTCATAGCTGCCAACAAATCCTCTTTTGGAGAAAATAATTTATATTTATTGGCCTTCAAACTAGTGTTGTGAACGGTAACCTTAGATTACTCTTTTTCATTAAAGGCACACTGCCATACTTGTAGCTACTTGCTCCCTCTATATAGAAAACTTCCCCAATTGGTGCCTGTTGGTCCCCCATGATCCTCTTTTTCTTATGTTAAATGAGAGCTGAGTTAATGAGATAGCCACCTGTCACAGTGACCTCGATGGCTCTCTGTGTGGTCTAATCCCTTCTGGCCCAGTAGTGGTGACGGTCTTTAAAGGAATGAAATTTCCAGAGAATTTCCTATTTTGATGAGGAATATTATAGACCATTTAATGAATTAATAAAAATCTGCATATCAAGGATATGGCGTAAACTAATATGAGCTCATCACACAACATTTGGGTTTCCAATCGGCCATTCTTCAAGTTTATGAAACATTAAATTTTACATAGGCTTGTTATAGAATGCCAAATTGCTGTTAGAATTATCTTCAATGAATTAAAAGGATACATTTGATTTTTTTTCTCCAGAAATTGTTAAAAACTTTACTCTGATTGATTTTGCAGTCCACCTAGGAAGGCCTATGAGAACCTGGTAAATGGCGACTCTCCTTCCCCTCCCCCGCCCCCAGAGTTTGATGATCAGATGGTTGCTGAGATAAGAAGAAAGAACAGAGGTGCGGCTCAAACAATACAGTAAGAACAACACAGTACTTAACTTGTATGTAAATTCATATCAAGATTATAGCTTCATCATCCATGGTTTATATTGTGTATAGATGACGATGTTGATGATGATGATTATGATTATGATGGTGAATGTGAGGATGATGAAAATGATGATGGTGGTGATGATGATGGTTATGATAATAGTGGTGATGATGACCATGATGATGATGATAAAAAAGATGATGTGATAAAAATAATGATGGTAGTGAAAATTATGACAGTGGTGATGATGGTGATGCCAGATGGTGATTGATGATGATGAGGAGGAGGATAATGATGATGATTATGGTGACGATGATGGTGATGACTGTGATGATGGTGATGATGATGATGACTATGATGATGGTGATGACTGTGATAATGATGATGGTGATGATGATGTCATGATGATTATTGTGACGATGATAGTGATGACTGTGATGATGTTGATGATGATGATAATAATGATGATGATTATGATGATGATGATAGTGATGACTGTGATGATGGTGATGATGATGATAATAATGATGATGATTATGGTGAGGATGATGATCAAGACTGTGATGATGGTGACTGTGATGATGTTTCAATTGTAATGTGAAACTAGGTTGAATAATAAATAAGAACATTAGCAAATGAATGGATATAAGCTCTCAAGAATTCTAATCAGATTTTTGAAAATCAGTGAACTTGACCCTTCCCTTTTCCGTATAGATACAGCAAACTATAGAGCGAGATGAGGTTGTATAGGTTGTCCAAAGCACACGCAGTAATGGGATCATTTTAAAGCCCCACTGCATTAGTTTGGCCAAGAGGATTAGACCTCCCTGCATGGTCACTGACAGGTGGTTATCTCATCAAATAAGCTCTCAATTAACATAAGAAAAAGGGGACCATGGGGGACAACTGGTCACCGATTAGGCATTGTTTGCTCTATAGAAGGCCCAAGTAGCTATAAGTAGTGCAGTGGGGCTTTAACTTCAAACTTTGTCTTTCCCCTTTGGTGTGCAGTAACCTTGAGAGTAGGATGAGGTCATACCAGATGTCCAAAGCCATAGCAGCGATGGATAACGTATCTCCAGTCAAGAACAGTCCATCAGAGTTCATTGACCTTAACGCAGCTATCGCCAGGGAGACCATCACCATCAAAGTGAGAAGTCGAAAAGGCTTGTTGCGATTTGAGGATTATCCGATGGTAAGATTCTTTAAAAGAAGGCTGTAACAGCTACATGTTGTCAATGGCAGTAACGGTCTACCTGCTGGCAGCTGACTATACATGTACTATCCCAGCCAAAACGAAACCGAGAATTATCGATGTTTTATCATAACTTAATCACAATTATAATAAATAAATGGCACATATTTGTAAAGCTAATGTCCTCCTATTTCATTTAATGCAACTTATATGATGCATATTTCACGCGTGAGTGATTTAAAACAATTTGAAGATAGGATGCCAGAACGTCATTTGGCCAACGGTATCTGAATTTCAAAGAGAAAATCACATTTCTAGAAAGTTCATTTTCTGCCCTTTCATGTGACACCTCAATCAGGAAAAATGAGCCAGGAATAAAAAAAGTTCTGTTTGTTTAAAGTGATGCTTGCATTTCCATAATGTGATTAAACAAATTCGTTTTCACTGGCTGCCTGCCGTAGCAACAAACGGAATTGACAAAAGACCTAACTCTGTTTCGTTGACGATCAGACATAGACGAAAGACTTCATGCATGGCTGATTGTCAATGAAACGGAGTTTTTCTTCTTCTTCTACTTCTTCTTCTAGATCTTCTTCTTCTTCTTTTTCTTTTTCTTCTTTATCTTCTTCTTTTCATCCACTTTCCTCAAAATCAGATGATCACAACTTCATTCTATAATATTTACTAGGTTTTAATTTACTCACGATTCTTTCGAGAATGGAAGCCAATATACTCATTTTATTATTATTATTCATGCAATTTCCTCTCTGTTTAGAATCAAACCTTTGAGAAGATATTCACCGAGCTGGGCGTGTCAGAGGGCGTGGAAGGAAGACGAGTGAGGATAACCAGGAAAGGTGATAACCTCTTGCATGAGGACACACCCAGCTCTATCAATCTTCACATAGCAGACATACTGGGTAAGCAACTACAGTAAAAACCTGTCTATAAAGACCACCCAAGGGAGACATGAAAAGTGGTCTTTATAGGCAGGTGGTCTTTATGTACAGGTTCCTTTAGTACATGTTTCAATGAGAAACCATTTGCAAGGGAAACACACAATTGAGTTGCAATCGATTGCAAATATAGTGTATCAGTTGCAAATGTTGCAACTTGCAATCAATCGCAACTTTCTCGCAGCGCCCCATTAGATTTGCTATTTGGGTCAGGTCTAATGTTTGGGCCATTATTGAATTTATGAATGCAAGTGGGCAATTGTCACATAAGTATGCCCTGCTCAATCTAAACAACACTTGAAAAGGTAAAGAGTGCCTCATATTGAATATTATTCATTGGATCACCCTATAGTCTTTTATTGTAGATTCATAGTAGTATAGATATATCGACTGCTATGAGAGGTCTGGCAGTTTTTATAGGTTCAAGGGGACGTTGCATCCTGCCATGACCCGAGGCGCGCCGAGAGCCAGTATAGAAACGGCCAGACCTCGAATATTAAAGCAGTTGACATGTCTTTTATATACCAAATTGACACAAAAATCTACCAAGAATTCTTACCTTATCCTTTTCTTGAGTAAAGGTTGGTTAAAAACATCACCGAAAATCTGAGACACTGTCTGTTAATCTTTGCTGGAAAGATTACTGAATGTTACAATCCTTTGGGAATTGCAGACAAAAAGCACTGTATGGTATCCGCGCTCCCACGAAGTAAGTTTTAAAACGTAAACCAATAGGGATCTCATCAAAATGTGCCATTTTCCCAGTACCCGGAATCTTTAGGGAATCTCACTCATGAAGTATTCACCGTTTTTATGCCTCCGTTACGAAGTAGCCGGAGGCATTATGTTTTCGGGTTGTCCGTCCGTCCGTACTTCTGTTCTCGTGATCGCGTTATCTGAAGAACCGATTGATGGATTCCTGCCAAACTTTGGTCATGTATGTATCTTGCAGAGCCGATGAACTGATTAGACTTTGGGGTCAAAGGTCAAAGGTCACAGGGCTCATTATGTATGCAAAAACAGCTCGTGATCGCGTTATCTGAAGAACCAATTGATGGATTCCTGCCAAACTTAGGTCATGTATGTATCTTGCAGAGACGATGAACTGATTAGATTTTGGGGTCACGAGGTCAAAGGTCAAAGGTCACAGGGCTCATTATGTATGCTGAAACAGCTCGTGATCGCGTTATCTCAAGAACCGATTGATGGATTCCTGCCAAACTTAGGTCATGTATGTTACTTGCAGAGCCGATGAACCGATTAAATTTTGGGGTCATGAGGTCAAGGTCAAAGGTCATGCGGCTTATTATGCATGCAAAATAGCTTGTGATCGCATTAACATTAGAACAGATTGATGGATTCCTCCTAAACTTAGTTCATGTATGTATCTTGCAGAGCCAATGAACTGAGTAGATTCTTGGGTCATGAGGTCAAAGGTCAAAGGTCATGGGCTCATTATGTATGCAAAAATAGCTTGTGAACGCATTCTCATTAGAACTGACAGATGGATTACTATTTAACTCGGGACATCTTGCAGAGCCAATGAACTGAGTAGATGTTAGGGTCGTGTGGTCAAAGATCAAAGGGTCATATATGTATATGAGAAATTGCTTGTAATCACGATATTCTGAGAACCTGTTAATGGATTACAATTGAACTTGAATTTGAACAATTTCTTCTGTTTTGGTTTGTAAAATTGCTCTATGACGGAGGCATCATTTCGACTGCGCGCAGTCGAAGTTCCATCTAGTTCATTTCTTTACGGGAATGGCTAAATTCACGACTCCAATTTCGACCAATCAGATACCTCGATTTCTAAAGAGAGGTACATGTATATAAATCATTTTATGAGGATTACAATGTTCTCTAAAAAGAATCTTCACATTTGTTTCTCCTTACTATATATTACTTCTTTTCAGATTATGTGATAGTAGATGGGGTAACACCTGCCATAGTATGGTACTCCACCACTCTTACCGAGGAGGATTATGTCAGGGTTACACTGAGAACCAGGGAGAAGAACTGCAAAACAATCACTAAAAAATTAGCTAAGGTGAGTTGAGGTATTGTTGATATTTCCATGGCGAAAGAGGAATACCGGTAGTCATTTTTGTTATGCCTGTGCCACTGGATGAGGGTGGTGGCAGAGCCGTTATGTTTTTGAGCTGTCCGTCCGCCCGTCACGCTTTTTGTTGCCGTGTTAACTCAAGAAGTTTGCATGTTTTAGGACAGGTTATTTTGATACAAGAATTTGTTACGTGCAAGAGACTTAAATGAATGTTGCGAGTGATTCAGACGAGTGACATTTTCATGTTGCAGAGTAATGTTTCCTTGTTTTTGTTAACCTTAAAGGCATAGACCAGTTCTGGTCGTGCGATTGCATTGTATTTTTTGTTGTTGTATTTATTAACATTTATTTCCTTCTCAACAGTACAATATGAAACACGATGTATATATACTTGATATATGTAACAATTATTTCAACATAGAGTATACAGTAAATAATTCAGATACGGAAGGAGGCAAAAACCCGGAAAGCATAGCTTGAGTTGGGAACGCCCATAATAAATTAACACAGTTACCGAGAGAACATTATAGATATTATTATGAAAATTACATTTTATATAACAGAAAGTTGATAGGAAAGAAAAAAATAGTAAATGGAAGAGAGAGAAAGAAATTTGACTTTATCTACCCTTGGCAATATTACAATATCAAGAACAATATTGAAATCATTTAAATCTGCATTCTTTCCATTGTGAAAAATCATATAGTTACATTTCTTTACATTAACAGATAATTTATTAGATTTGAACCAATCACATATATATGCAAGACCTGCATTTACTGTATCCATAAGAGACTTCAAGTTTGAATCTCTGTGAAATATGTTTGTGTCGTCTGCATACAGTATAAAAGACAATTCATTAGCAGATTTATAAATATCATTCACATATAATATAAACAACAATGGCCCAAGCAGGCTACCCTGTAGAATTCTGCATGTTATTGTCCTAAACTTTGAAAGAAACGTTGTGGAATCGATCAGAAAAGGTTGATCATCTAGCATATAAGTATTGGTGTGTACTGCAAGGTTCTGCAATCATCAAAATGATAAGAAATTTGGCCCAGTCTTGTTAAAGTTACAAGCACTGTACATAGAAAGATGTATATGGAACTACGCAATATCTATCCAGTCCGGATAGATATAATAATTTATCAAATATATCAATTAGGATAAAGATTCATTTTGCACCGATTAGAGCTTAAATTTCACCAAGTATAAAAAAAAAAGAAAAAAGATGTTGTATTGCCCTTTGCGACCGACCCAAATATTTTGAAATCTACAGTCGGCTTTTTAATTAATTTTTTTTTTGGTTACCGTTTTTTAGAAAAAAAAATGTATCATTTATTAACGTTCAGTACTGAGAAATATCAGCCCAAAGAGTGAGTGAAAAAGAAATTAAAAAGAAAGGTTTTTGACCGACCGACCCTTGTTTTGGCACCTAAAGGGCAACACAACATTTTTCTTTTAGGCCTAATGAATGATAGGATCTATTTCTTAATCAACTGCTAATCTCTTTAAAAAAGGGAATAGTCCCTTCAAAGTAACTCTTATCTCAAATGTGTTTGCTGCCCTCTTGTGTTGCAGTATTATAACACTTATCCTTTCATTTTCTCTTGGAGATGAGGTAAATTAATGGTGTTACTTAGTCTTGAAACAACCTTTGTTTATTAAAAGTATGCCTAAAATTTGAATATGCTAGTATACAGGGTATTTCAAGAAAAGGGGACTTTTTAGCTCAAGATTTCTTCATTTTATGCTTTCCTTCACTAGATGGAGACCTTCGAGACAGTGTTTCAAGCGTTTTCTGAACTTCACAACAAGCCCATTCATCAACTGCATTTCTCCTTTGACGGTGATGACGTCGCCCCCACCGCTACCCCTCAAGATTTGGACATGTCCGAAGAAAACGTCATCGACGTCATTATCTTATAGGAGATGAAACCCAGCTGATGGTGAAAACCAAAGAAACGTTTATAAGCAAGCACTGGATAAAGGTGTTTGAGAGAAGGAAGCAATCCATGCTTGCTGTTCTGAAATGTTGAGTAGACCCAATAGAACGTCTGGTGATGTTGCTTCCTAACCGTGCTTCCTTCGTTAATTCCTGGTGTAGTGGTACCCCTGCAGAACCCAATCAGTTAAAGGTACTATAGACCAGTTCTGGTCATGCGATTGCATTGTGAAAGAATGTTGTGGAGTCGATCATAAAAGGATGATCATCTAGCATAAGTATTGGTGTGTACTGCAAGGTTCTGGAATCATCAAAATGTTAAGAAATTTGGCCCAGTCTTGGTAAAGTTACAATCACTGTACATAGAAAGATGTATATGGGTATGGGACTACGCGATATCTATCCAGGCCAGATCGATATGATAATTTACCAAATGTATCAATTAGTAGGTGGTTTCCCTGCAAAATTTGAATCATCATGTATTATTCAAAACATATTCTTTCACATGATTGGTAATAAGAGCTTCCATATTCATTTTTTGAGAGGGGGGCGTTTTAAAAACTGGTCCATATCTTTAATATAGGTGAGCTTTGAGGCATAATTCAAAGTATTTTAGACTGCCAATATAGCAAGTGCCAACTGCGTCTAATAAATATCCTACACACTGAACTCTTGTGAATTGTATTACATTTTAATACATCATTATAAACAACAAAATGCCAGTTTACCCCCATCATATCACCTATATTCAGAGGTGTTGTGGACGAGTGGATATGTCACCGGTCTGTGGATCACAAGGTCCGCGGTTCAAGTCCCACTGTGGCACTAATGTCCTTTGGCAAGACATTAATCTACATTTGCCACTCTCCACCCAGGTGATAAATGGGTACCCTGTAGGATGCGAAAGCTAATGTGCTTAGATTAGCAAGTGTGCGCTTGTAAAAATGATGCACTGGCTCGAATGCTCCCCAGGGAGTGGAGAATGTGCATACATTGTGTGCAGGGTAAGCCTGAATCCGATAACCGGGGTAATAATATGATTGCAGGGCCCTCAGGGAGAACAGTATGAATACTGATGAGGCTACCCTGGGTAAACAAGACATATTATTATTATTATTATTATTATTATTATTATTTATTCAGATCCCACACAACTGATTTCTGTAATTACAGTGTTAAAAGTGTAGCAACCATCAACATAATATTTATCCTGTAATTAAGGGGTTCCATGTTGCTATATACATGTATATATTAAAATGTGACTAGGAAACCTACATATATTTTGTGAGTCGGGGGGGGGGGGGGGGGGAGGAGGGGCTAGGAACACTTTCCCCTCCCCATGTCCACTCCTTAGGAAAGAATTTGTACATAAGGCAGAAAAATATAGAGCTACCTCATTTTTTGTAATTCACATGTTTTTGACTCAGGGCTCCACACTTACTTATTTGTGTGTAGGTCCTTGATCGATATTATAGGGGTCTGTATGCAATGAACCCTAGGCATTGTTAATACTTAGTAGTAAATGGTAAATAGTAAATTTTGGGGTAAGGAATGAAATATTTTTTTGGGGGAGGGGGGTGTTCATAGTATGCACCTTTTAGTGCCGAGCCCTCTTTTTCTCATATTCTTCCTCAAAGGGAAATCCAACTTTGATAGTATAACTACTCTTAAAGCCCGTCTGTACTAGTTTGGCCATGGGGGATTAGACCTCCCTGCCAGGTCACTGACACTGACAGGTGGTTATCTCATCAAATCAGCTCTCAATTAACATAAGAAAAAGAGGATCACGGGGACCAACAGGTACAGCTTAGGCATTGTTTACTATATAGAGGGCGCAAGTAGCTATAACAGGCCTGATAAAAACCCGATTTAAATCTGTTTCCCAATTTTTTTAGATTTTTCCCAATTTTTCCCAATTTCTTTTTTCTTCCCCGATTTAATTTTTTTTTTTTAAATTTTTTTTTTACCTCCTTTAAACCTGATTTAACCGATTTACCCGTTATTTTCTCTTATCTTCCCTATTTTGCTCTATTTTTTTCCCAATTTTCTTACTCGAAAGGGGGGAATGTTGTTAGATGCCATTTTTTCCCCGCGAATCCTCTTCTCTTTTTTTTACTCAAGGGGGGCGTGGTTGAGGGGAAAACAAAAAAACTTTTTTTTTTTTAGTGCTCACTATCACCCCTGCTATTAGTAGTGCAGTGGGGCTTTAAAGAAAGCAGATCAAATTGGAGAAGTAGACGGATGAAAGTTTGAACACAATCGGATAAAAAATGAGAAAAGCTAAGAAATTTTGAAAGTTGTCATCACTTCTAATTAGTTGAATCAGCAGTATCGCTGTAACAAAGTGCTGGACAACTTTTCCTTTTTTCCCGAAACACAATCACACATGTCAAATGTATGGCTCAGCAGGGCCCTTTCTCTTTATAGAGAACCTTTAATAAAATGCTACCCACAATATAATTGAGATTACTTCAAAGGAAAAGGCACTTAGGAGAAAAACAGAAATTTATGGTATTTTTGTTCACGCCCAACTGAAGAGTTGTCAGTGAATACCTAACAATCCACCGATCAAATTGCCGATTCGCAATGTCATATATTTCAAACACATAACTTTTGTGTTACTGGTCCGATTTATTTGAAACTTTCGCCATTCTGTTCCTCTTATTTTTCCGCTTTCATGCAAATGAAATTAGTACAATCACGTACCGCAGTCGCAATCACCTCCAAATAATAACTCTATCACAACTTCAATACTTTATTGTATTAGCTTTAATGTTCAGATATATTGCTTGCTAAATTCAGCAGGTGATGCATATATTTAGGCTTTCATATTTTATGATGGATTAAAAAAATGATTGTGCGATGTATACATAAACATTTAGTATTCCAAACTATGCATTCACATAGATAAAGTATTACTGATTTTGGTATTTTGTATGCATTAGTAGAGGTGGCAGATAATTTGTAATAATGTACACAGCGCATGAAATTGAATACAAGGCATTTGTTATCAATGAATTGTGAAGAAGTCTTGAAATATGTGAAGATGTTCATTATATATATCTATGCACTGTTTTGTAAGAAGTGGGAGTTGGCTATTATATAGCTCAGTTTAATACAATGCATACAGATTTCAAATGGGCCATTTTCGTATTGTAATCAAATTTATCGCACAAATCTTTGTTCAGTGCCTCTTAACAAATTATTTCATTCACCCGTTACGAATAAATGTTTTTCAATAGCCAAAATATGAATTGCATACATAATTACTAGTTGTTAGGTAGAACAAGCCATAATGTTTGTCCTACCTAGCAACAATTAATGTATGCAATACGCATTCTGACATTTGAAATACAATTATTTATAACAGATGAATTAGATAATTTGTAAAATGACAATAAACAAATATTTATGCATTAAATTTGATTTCATTTAAAAAATGGTCTATTGACCGATATTCGACCATTGGGGGTTAATGTAATTTGCAGGTCAGTCTGTGTTCTGTCTGGAGAAGGTCCTGGGTGGTGGGGGGGGGGGGTGTTTCACAAAGCCTTTTTTCAATGACAAATGACAAATATCAGTGATAAATCTGCTGATAACCAATTAGAAGCAAGGATTTCAGTAGCTTATTACACAAACTGTCATTTGACAAGTTTTGTGAAATGCTCCCCTGTTGGTGTGGCTGGGGAATAGGATCAGGGCCCTGATTCACAAAACTTGTTATCAATAACAATATGCGATAGTTTGTTAAAAGCTACTGAAATCCTTGGCTTTGATTGGCTAAGAGCAGATTTGTCATAGATCTGTGATAGATGTTATTGCAAACGAGTTTAATGAAACAGGGCCCAGATGACGAGTCTTCCATTCTATTTAGGATGTGATGAAGAGAGTTTAAAAATCATTTACTAGAATATTCCAGTTAGCAATATAACCGGGTAGCACTATGGTTTCAACTTCAATTCATTTCATTCAAGAGCTTAAATTTACCCTACCGCAAATACGATGTTCGACAGTAGATGGCGACCTTCCTCCCACACTGCGCAGATACGATACTGAGGAAGACGAGAAGACATGTTTTCCCCCAGCTTCCATAGAGAATGTACAGCCGTGTCAACTAATTCCTTATTTTACTAAACTATTGTTCTGGTTTCATGAACTCTCCTGATGAGATCATGTAGGCACCATCATAATCTGTCATTTATAGTTTATTGGTTCCAAAACTATAAATTCCATGGGACTTTCCTGGAGGGTGTTTCACAAAGCCTTTTTTCAATGACAAATGACAAATATCAGTGACAAATCTGCTGATAGCCAATCAGAAGCGAGGATTTCAGTAGCTTATAACAAAAAATGCCATTTATCACTGATGACAAGTTTTGTGAAACGGGGCCCTGTTCTTGATCCATTGTTTTTAACGTGTTGGAACCTGAAGTGCCTTTGCCAAATATGCCCATGGCCAGTGCTGCCCTCTCTAGCCAAATATGACAAAACAGTAATTGCGATAGCCTGAATTGATTAGTTAAGATTAGGGTGAAGTCACATAGCTCTATGTGCAACAGGAGCATAGTATTCACACATAATGAGCAAACTTTTTGTACCCACTTTTGTATTATATAAATACCGGTAGGTGTAACATTGTACCAGTACCGTATTTAGTTTTGTTTATGTTAACAAAAATATGTAAATAAACTTCAACAGATCTACTACATATATATTTGTATATGATGTGAAAGGTAACAGTTAGAAATATGCAAATGCACTTCAGAAACAAAGAAATGAAAATATTTTGTTGTATTTACCGTTTTAAACAATAATCAATTGCTGTGGAAATTTACAATATCCTGTTTAAGCAGCTTGAATATTGTGGGGTTTTGTTTGTGAACCATCCAAGCATTTCCTTAAGACTGATATTGTGTTTAAAGTACTTAGTATTCAAAATATCTGGCCAATCTATGTGGAATTTTCCCGGGAGTTGATGTCTGTTACGTTTAAAAAAAAACCTAATTCATGAATGAAAGGTGGATTGGTAGAATTAGGGCCTTCAATACTTTTAGATGCAAGCTTTAATATGTCACATTCTCAAGAAACATGAATCGGGACAAATCTATTTTCACACACTTAAAACAATATAAATCTTTGGTAAGGGTATGAATGATTTAGTTGTGAACTGTAGATTTGCACGTGGGATATAACCTCACTTTTATTTAAATACACAGTTAACCTTGTTTCTCCTTTCCTTCACAGCAACTTGCTGTCAAGGTTGGATTTCCCTTTAATAGACAGAAAAATATTGCTTTAACATAAAGTAAAATTTGCTTGTAATGTCAGGAAAATGCACTGTATTCCTCTTT